ATATGTGTCAACGTTCTTCGTAAGTATGATAGAGGTTATTATAAAGAAACATGATATATTTCAGTATACGAAATTTCATTAAGTGGTAGTGATAAGAGACGGAAGTTGACAGCAACAAGCAAACGTTGTTGTCAAACATTGTTTTCCAAAAAGTGTTTTCACTTTCTCAGATGTAAAATTTCGCGCTAAAAATGTGCTGTAATAAGTTCCAGAGTGCGTGGTACGTTTTTCCACGCCCTCTCCTCAAAATATCACCAGACTTCTCCCGTGGAGGTAAAGAGTAAAATCCAGGGCTGCCAAACATCACTTAAGATCTCAAAAACAAAACTTGGAACATTCAGTAGCGTTTCATATGTATTTTCAACGTCTGCGTACCTGCTGAGCAGGGTAGTGGTCCGATTTACGGATGTCGTGTAACGTGTAACAAAGAGAAACGTTTACTTTTGCTTAAAAAATGGGCTAGGAAACAGCTGTTAGAGATGCAAACATCTCTTAATGCTTGAGGTATTGTTTTAATATTTTTTTAGGGTCGTAAGGTTAGTCGTTTATACAGTATGTAGGACCCCTTTATAGCTTCCTTGATTTTCATAGTTTCTTACTCTATTTTGAGGTTATGTTACAAATATCTATTTGCAAGAATTTGTTCATGCTTTTGGTGCATATCATCTGTTCAATCAGACTGAAATTTCCTACAATTCAAAAAGAAAACATAGCCTCACAATAAGAGAGTGCTGACGCTGTCATGGAACAGTAGAAGTCTAGAAATACCCCAGCCTTTCTCAAGTAGAGAAAAGACTACGCAAACCAAGTCGTCCTACAATAATTGTCGTAACGACTGGCGATACAGCCCTTATTCTAAGTCATTCGTTTTTGTTTCTAGTGGTACTTTTTTGAATATCTTCTTTCTGGCTTGCTAAGCTTGTAAATATTATAATTTTAAAACTGTTCTATAATTATTTTATTTTAAATGTGTAAATTTTATAATTTATTTCGTCCTCAATAATGTGGATAATGATTATTATTATTATTATGATTATTATTACTCCCGATATCCAATTCTATGGACGTGTTGCAATTCATTATCTATGTTAAAAATGCTTTCCTTGTGTTACAGAAGAAGGCGAACCGTGTGATTTGCTAACCATACAAAGCCCGGAACCCGCCAAAATCATGTGTGACGAAAATTTGGTCTGTTATGAAAACAAATGTGTAAAAGAGGCAGAAGTCATAGCAAAATTTGCAGCCTCGGATCAATCTTCATAGTTTAATCCACTTTACACTGTATTTCTATATTAATAAATAATTTTTTTACGTAACCAGTTTCAATTGTAGGATACCAGTTTTGATTGATGCATTTGTGTACCGTATTACTGAATAATACGATACTAGTTGTATCTGGTTTTCAGACTGTATGCAATAACAATATGAGACATTAAAATCATCAAATGAATTTGATTCATTAGGGTACGTTTCGATTGCAACAAACTTGCACATGTTGGCAATGTGTTGCGGTACAAGCGCTGAGGACAACAATGAACCATCGAACTGCGGCCCGTAACATTTACAGAAAGAATGCCGTCAAGTAGGTTGACTTTGCACTTGCTATGCATTCCGGTCATCGGTTCATAATGGGTCGAGTTCAGCGCAATTTAAATCCTCTGTGAAAAAGTCATGTATGGTATATCTGAAGTCACTTGAAATAGCATAAAAACCTTTGGTCGGCGCGTCCTTTGTAATTTCATGACGTATCATAGGCGTGCGGTGATTTATTTAGAACGATAATAATAATGTTTTTATATCACAATAAATGGATTTTACTATCTTCTTATTTTTTTGATTTGGGATAAAAAATACTTATATTGGGATTTTAATTTATGTTGACTGAAAGTTAAGAAATGGAAAAATTACAGAATTCCAACGTTTGACATAGGCAAATATTTACATAGCAGGTAGGTATATAAAAAGGTATATAAAGACTTACATTATAGGTATTTATATATCATCCTCGCCTTCGGAGCTGTCGCTAGAGTCATCTTGTAGAGGAATTACAACGGGATTTACAGGAGGCAAAACACAATATTCATTTTCTTTTTCAATAATATGCCTAGAACACTGCTTCCATAGGTCTGTGGCAGCAATATGAGATACTGCATCTCTTATTGTGGCCAATAGCGATTCACTTAATTGAGGGGTCTGATTATATTTTCTTACTTTTTTTTTAAAGCAGCCCAGACCAACTCAATCGGGTTAAAAATCCAGTAATAGGGAGGTAGACGTCACGACTTCATGGCCATTTTGCTGAATCAGATTGTCAAAAACATACTCTTTTTCAGATTTTTGTCTTTTAATAAGATCCAATAATATGGCTTTGGTTGATTTTTGTGGTATTTCCATTCCCTTATCCTTCATAAAATCAATAATGTCTTGTTTTTTTGTGCCTGTATTCGGAATTTTGTTTTTCTGTCGGGAATGGTATGGCGCATTGTCCATAATAATCAGTGAATTTAGGGAAATGTTTGGTATTAACTGCTGCTCTATCCACTTTTCAAATAAGTCGGAGGTCATGTCCTCATGATAGTCGGCACATGATTCTTTGATATTTTTGGCAGATAACAGCAAGGCATTAGGTATAAATCCATTTTCACTGCCAGCATGGAGAATAATGATTCGTTTTCCACGGTTGCATGGTGCATTTGAAATGCACTTGTTGCTGTCGTCAACCCAGCCGTACTGCACAACATCATGGGTATCATACCACGTTTCATCCAGGTAAATCAGATTTCTTTTCTGCTCTCTATAGATTTTAACTTTGTCCAAAAATTCTTGGCGCAATTCAACGATTCGAGACGACTCCATAATCACCATTCTTTTATCTAATTTTTTGTATTGAAAACCACACAGTTTTACAATACAGTGCAATGAGTCTAAGCATTTGTAATTATAAAAATCTTCAGGATAATCTTTTAATTTATCCCGTATCATTTCCAACGTGGGCACCAAATTTTCTTTATAAAATCCGTATATTATACGACGAATATCTTTCTGAAAACCCACGACTATTCTTTTTAATTTTTGCCCTATGCGCTTTCTGTGGAAGGAATGGTTGACTAGATCTCCCCTTTTTATAACCCGATAAATGGTAGACCGAGTGATTTTTGTCAGGATACAAATTCTGTTTAAAATTTGATTTTGCGAGGAATCTGGATTTTCGTTTTTCAAACAATCATACATATTTAGGATTACTCTTTGGGTCTGTTCCTCTAAATCTTTATGAAAGAATTCTGCCTGCACAGGTTCATCAACCATCTCCTCGTGGCTTGGAGCATTTTCCCAAGGTCTCCAAAGAGCCATATTTAGGACACACAAGAACAATCAACACAACAATTAAATCAACAACTAAACTGAGTATTCAAAAGTCAAAAACACACAAACTAATAAAATCTATGAAAAAACACGGACAGACTAAAGAAAACACGTTTATTCACCGCTACACGGCACTGGCTAAACTGTTTCAATTTTCAGTAGCCACCTGCACTTTTTCGGAGCTCTGAAATACACGCTTTCTCATTGGCTATGTCCACGCATAGGCGTGCTTTACTCCACGTGGACCGGTGAAACTGCCTTTGATCTTATACGGGGGATATTTGCTGCGAAATTTGGCGATTTTTGCAGCAACAGAGCGTGTTAAATATAGATATATAAAACGCACCCGGTATTTCACAGTGTTTCAAGTGACTTCAGATAAAGTATACATGTATAACAGAGAAATTTAACGGACCAAGTCAGTCAAACAGGCCATACCATTAGTCCCTGCCCTACCGTTGATGAACGTTGACTTGTGTATCCTATCGTATTTTACAATATGTTTCACGATCATATGCCTTTTCTCCATTTTTGATAAGACGTCACCATAGAAATCAAAATTGACGTGTCCGAGAGTTTTTCTCAAACAAATTTCGGTGCGACCTGTATGGATTTCTCTGTATAAACAAACCATATGACATTTCGTATCAAGAGACTAAACACAATAACACTAGGAATCAAGTTTTTGTCACCCTAGCATGGCGATTTCTTAGTATCTTGTCTACGGCGGCACACTAATAGCATCCGTTGAGTTATAGATGTTACGTTTAATAATAACAATAATGAATGTTATTATTGGGGTTATTACAAGATGGAGTCCACAAAGCGTGCTCCTCCACTCAACCTTTGCAAAATTAAAAGAAAACAGATATGTCAAAAATAAAAAACAATATACGAATTAAAAAATGAGTTCTTGAAAGCCTGAAAATTGATGCTCAGTGCAGGGATTACTAGGGTATGGTGTATTTAGATGAACGCAACCAGTATTATATAGCTTGCACAAATTGAAATTTTAAATACATTTGATTAAATATTATCAACTTTGAACAGCAAATAATAAGCAATCAAAAGCTGAATGAACTCTCCCACGTAGCATATATCTCCAATCTCGTCCAACTGATATTGTATTATATAAATTGCGGTTTATCTAATCAGTAAATTGTTTTAGGAATGTTGATAGTTATCCCCTGTGAACCATTGACGGTGTATTTCCTTTGAACTTTATACCGCTGGTCTGCGGGAGGTTGCCAAGTGGATTAACGTTACTTTTTCACTAGACAGTAAACAGGAATGCGTATTTTGTCAGGATTAAAAATCAGATGCGACTCTCAACTGCCTAAGGCAATTCACACGCCCTTGCCAATGCATAGATGGAACTCAATTCATTTATTCTCTTCGCTATTATTATTTTAGGTATGCGAAATCTTGTAGCCCGTAATTACAATAATTATATGATTAAAAGTGCAAGAAAACATTATAAATAAACGTTTTTTTTATGAATTTGCGTTACTGATTTTTTGTCCATTCTAGAATTATCAATTTCATAATAAATCTATTTTTTCCGCCACCGACCTCCGAGATAGGCTTAGTCCGCCACTGTTGTGTCCGGGTTTACATGTAAAGGTCAAAGCGGTTTAGCGTAAAGCGATGGAATTAAATCACGCGCATAAACCGTTTTGAGGTGTGAGTGTCAAGTGTAGTATTTATTCAATATGCTTTGATGATCAATAATACCGCACGAGTCGGGAAATCTGGCACAGCTCGGCAACAGGGCGCGCGGACACGTGCATCTAAAGTGCGTGAACAGTTGTGACGTAACAGCGAAGCATTACAAATATAAATAATAATGATTACATTCATCGCCAGTGGGGTTTCGGAAAATTGGCACATGCAAAATAGGAATTGCGTCTTTTTTTGACAATGATCGTCGTCTAGTCGTCTACGGTGTAGTCTGAATTGTGGGGCTTTCACCAACACATCTACCTCTTCTGTCACTCGATGACAATAGCTGATCGTTCAAGATAGTCGATTTGTTCATGTTGAATAGGTGAGTAACGTTAAATACATTTTTATTCATGTCAATAGCTTCGTGCTAGCTAAATACTCCAAATCGCGATTTTAGTGATAAGGGTAAGGATCAAATCTCAATAGTTTATTACTCAGTTTCCACTCCACTTGAGCTTCATACTTGTGTATGATTTTAATTATTGACAAAATATTACTTAATTTCATAATTTGGCCAACTCAATAGTTTGTCTCATATATTTTCGAATATTTGTTCCTAGGAAACATAGATCAAAACAGAAAACAGATGAGAACATCGAGATCGAGATTTGGAAAACAAAGCAGTCGAAGCTTCATCGAGCTTGCTTTTGTATTTTGTGTTACCGCCGAAATACGTTCTCGTCTATTACACCAGATGGCGCTGTGGCGCTTCTGTTGTAGCTGCGTACATCTCTTAAGCCTAGTTCATATAAACGCGAATTCGGTTGCTGAAAATTCATATCGTTCATGTAGACGCGAATTTCGCAATAATTTTAGAAACATTTGTTTTTTATTTTTCGGTGGCGTACTGGGCTGTTAGTACCTGAAGTTAGGCTTGTTTGCTCGTTCTGTCAATTCTGTGCGTATTGTAATTAATTTGTCACAAGCATATGTAGACCTGTAGACACCAAAAATATACTAAGTGACATATAAATCCGAACACCCAGTTTAAATGGTTTTATTTTAATAAAATTTTGTACTTAATGAAACATAATAAGTAAATGATAAAAATTTCAAAATGATTGCACTGCTTTAAAGCCCTTTGACCTTTAATAATGTGTGGATGCACCCTGATGTGCTACGCATTCTCCAACGCGCCTAGGCATGTTTCTGATCAGGTGGTCAATGTCCTCCTGTGGAATTTCATTCCAGGCAACCATCAACTCCTCTCGAAGTGCTTCTAGAGTCTGAGGAGGACGTTGCAAATTGAGCAATCTCCTACCCATCATATTCCACACGTGCTCAATTGGGGATAAGTCGGGAGATCTTGGTGGCCATGGTAACAATGTGACATCATTATGTTGAAAGAAGTCTATTGTGACTCTTGCAACATGTGGTCGGGCATTATCTTGTTGGAAAGTTGGATCTGCCAGGGTGTCAAGATAGGGTAAAAGATGGGGTTCTAGAACTTCTTGGATATAACGCTGCGCGTTCATGTTACCTCTGATGAAGATTAAAGGTGACCTGGAACCATAAGCTATAGCACCCCAAACCATAACTCCAACAGTGTGATGAACATGTCTTTCAACAAAAAACTGTGGATTCCTCCTTTCACCACGTCGCCTTCTAACCCTGGCACGACCATCGTGCATGCCTAAACAAAATCGAGACTCGTCACTAAAGACAATACTGCTCCATTCCTGATCCCAGAGTGACCGTTGTCTGCACCACTCAAGGCGACTACGTCGGTGTTCTCGAGTTAAAGGGAGGACCCAGTGTGGCCGGTATGAAAACAAGCCAAACCTCCTCATTCGTCGGTAAACACTTCGCATGCCAATAGGTCTTCCGTGTTCTGCAAACCATTCATTTGCAATGGACCTGGTAGTGGAGAAACGGTCCCTTAAGGCCAATAATCTTAGGCGGCGATCTTCACGGTCTGTTGTTCTACGGCGGCGTCCAGTGCCCCTTGCTCTTTGCGTACGGCCTTCTCGAAGCCATGCCTGACAACACCTAACCACAGTGTCTACACTTCTTTGCACTCTAACTGCAATTGCCCGAAAAGAAAGTCCAGCTTCCCGAAGTCCCACTATACGGCCCCTATCAAACTCACTAAGTTGACGAAATCGTACAGGTCTCCGTACTCTAGGCATCGTAACCAATCGTAAAGAGCGTTAGTGAATTAAAAAAAAGCAGTATAAAAACCCGAATGTCCAACTGATAAGGCTGAAAATTTTTTCACTTGTTATTTACAGTAAGATAAATATATTCACCAACTTTTATTAAAATAAAACCATTTAAACTGGGTGCTCGGATTTATATGTCACTTAGTATAAAAACAATTCTATAGTTTATTGTATAATGGGTGAAACGCGAAATTTTTTTCTTTAACGTCGAATGCGCGAAATTGCTGCGTGTTTACTATTAAAGAAAATAAATAATGGATCAATACGAGCGATCGATATTTGAGGAATTTTGCAGAAGACACCAAGGGGCATTTCATAATTGCCAAGAAATGAGTCTTAATGATGAAAAGAAAAAATAATACAAACTACAAACACAGAACACTCTCAGGGAAATACGAAGAACAACCGAAAATGAAGTAAACAAACTAAATAATTGCGCATACGTCAACCTTCGGTTTGACAGCATTGACGCATTGACAGAAAATTCATAGGCGAAAATCCCAAGAAAATGATAAATTTATAATATTCCGGACACCAAGAATTTAAATTTTGCGATTCGCAAGGGAATTGAATTGACACTTCTGTCGCGCAGTAAATTGACTAATAGGAGTCTTATTTGTTTAATTCACAATCGCGATTCGCGTCCATATGAACTAGGCTTTAGGCCTCCCTTATGCAGAGAAGTCCATGTAACACTGCAACATACGTATCCCACGTTTCTCGCGCTATTCTATTCTTCATCAGTGATAGGAGGATTTGGATTTCTCTGCATATTTCGTTCGGTGGCGGTGGCGAGTGCCGCACAGGGTTGCGAGATGAGCCGAATGGAATGAAAGCATATTATAATACATATATATTTAAATCGTATTTAAGCTATCATCGTCGCATATGTTGTGTTATTATTTTTCACTGATCAATACTAACGCGATCGACTACAGTTTTGTATGTTTTGTTGTGTGATTGAAAGCTATAAACCTTGGAATGGTTGCTTGGAAATAAATAATACCCAAACGTTTATAATGCCCTCAAATAAATCCCCCGGAAGATTACGCCCCTCAAATTTACGGAAAGATACAGCAATCCCAACAAACTGGGGGAAAGGCAGCCTACGTGGCAACGCTGTTGAAGCGTCGTTTCAGGATTTTGTTTTTAACTGCCAAACAGTAACTTCAACTTTTATAGCTTTGCCAGGGCCGGATTTAGAGGGGGTCGAGGAGAGGCATCAAATTAAAGGGTTTTAAAAAACATAAACAACTCGATGCTATTCTGAATCCCAGCACAGAACGGCGATTTATAATTTCCATAGTCACTGTTATGAGTATCAAATAAAGGAAATATGAAGCAAATAAAATTCAATATGGCGATTGCCGCAAAATATCGATTTATCATTGTATGATTTATATCTACTGAAATTTTATAATACAAATAAAGTTAGAAGTTTTATGAAGACCTGGTAATAAAATATCTGAAAGTTAATTAGAAATTACGAAACTAGTTATTTGACATCATAAATACTAAAAAGTAAAAAATAAATGAAATAAAATAGTTTTTGATAACTCGCATATTTAAAATAATATATCCTTCATTAGATTCAAAATACTTAGGGCGTAGAATATTTTGAATAGAATTTGAGAACGCGTAGTTAAGGTCAATTTCAGTAGAATTGCAAAAATACTACTGTGTAATGGACGCAACCAGTTTTTGGAACTGTACCGGGTCAATAATAAAGAAAGCTGGCTGATCTTCGCAACCGCTATTACAATTATATGCTAAAAGTGGCCAAGAGAAATTGCTGAAATTATTTTCAGGTTCCGTCACTCGAATTTCAAGATTTCAAACGCAATTATTTTGCAAAAATTAATAATCAACATACCTACCCCAGCGGTCACTTTAGGATCTAAAAATAATTTCCAGCAATTTCTCTTGGCCACTTTTATTTTAAAATTTTAGGTTCAATATTTAACAGTATGTTCTTAAAAAACCTGTGATTTTGCCGTCCGACACATCTCGAGCATGCAAATACAAAGAAATCTGCAGTGTTATACTAACACACCTCATTTTTTGTAGCCCCATCTGAACGATCCAAAGATGGTAGCAGTATTATCTCGATTCGTCGCGTTCACGAATCGCCACCCTGTGATAAGAGGTATGCTATCCTACGGAACAATATGGCCGACATCTTGTATCATCCAACAAACAATTGCTGGTAAAACATGGGAGAACTATGACTGGATGCACGCGCTGAGATTTAGCTTATACGGAGCCCTTTTCACTGCGCCGACACTGTATGGATGGATCAGGGTATCGTCCATCATATGGCCTACGACCAACTTGCGAACTTCCATCACAAAGGTAATCATTTTACTGTATTTTTCAATAGTATTCGTTACGATGGAATAACAGATTTTCTAGTAATATTTCAAAATTCCCCATATTGACAAGTGACATGCAATTCTGACGGATCCGTCAACGCCAGGTAGACAGAGCAGTATTTTAATGTGATTTTTTACAAGCAAAATGGCTGCTAATGCTAAATTTCAAGTCTGATAGGGATGTAATAAAATAAACAGTTTTTGACTTTGTTAATCATCTCTACTTTTTAGAACTTCAACCACCATATCATTTTAAAAGACAATGAAACATCCATATTTGATTTACGGTACACTGATGACTTATATCGTAATCAATAAATACCATATGAACTATAATAATTTTCTAATAAACATTTGTGTGTATATATATATATATACTTCGTATATTTTATTGTCGAAATTCCCAATCACCAAAAGTAGGTATCTAGTAATGTGAACAATCTATTTACAACCTTAAGTGCTAAAACTGGCTATGTATATAAGCGGAGATGTGGAAAAATCTGCATATTTGGATCTTTCTTGCATTATAACTAAAAGACCTCATTGCATGTAGACTTTGGTAACTATATACCTATGTTACTTTTTCAACTATCCCGAACATGGAGTCTTGTAACTTCCGAGGCCCAGCCTCCTGAGATATCCCTTACAAATAAATGAAGTAATATTCGTAATATAGTAACTAGCTTGACCTATGCATTTTTTTAGGCCTTAGTTGAACAGCTAACATACGGCCCCGCAGCTTTAATTTGTTTCTTCTTCGGTATGAGCTTACTCGAAGGTAAATCAGTACCAGAAGCCAGAAAGGAAGTGGAGGCTAAATTCTTGCCAACTTGGAAGGTATATACTATCGAAACTTGCATCGTGCTTGCATTTTGACTTTCTAATCGCATTAATAGAGATTTTAGATTAACCGAACTACTAACAGTTTGATTTTTCTTGGCTCTAACCCTCTATTTTAGGTGGGAGTTTGCGTATGGCCCATATTGCAAACTGCAAACTTCAACTACGTGCCAGAAAAGAACAGAGTGCCTGTGTTAAGCATTTGCAGCTTGATGTGGACTTGCTTTTTATCGTACATGCACGAACTGAAAATGAAGCAAGTGGAACAAAAAGGACGCGTCCCAGAAAAGTATGATTTTCTGCATTTTGTTTGAATCTTGATCTAATATATCCCTAAGACTCTATTGAAATATAACAAATCTCCAGCATACGGGGTGTGTGCACCCCTCTACGTTTTTTTTAAAGCGCCAGAGTGTGGAAAATTACATGATATATTGCAAAGTGACGTATGATATAATTTTGCCTGGAAACAAAAATTGATTTTTTAACGTTAATATTTTGTTTGCAATTTATTTCTCTTTCAAAAAGTTTCACACTTTTCTCGAGAGGAGTTGCTCTCAAAACCTGTAAGTTATCACATATCTATTTAACTTTACAACATCAAAAACCGTGAAAAGAATTGAACTGCATTAAGCTCAGGATAAATATAGCGTTTCGTTAACATTACATGGTAGTTTGGCAACACCGCCTCTGATAATGCGGAGCCATCTATAAGCAAATCGCCAAACCAACATAGCTGTTTTTATTTGTATACCAGTAATAGTCCAAGAGCTGACCGCAAAGTTTTGATTACATAGCGTACTGATATGGAATGTTAAAAACCATGTTATGTATTTTGATGCTAGACCGGAATATTATGGGACGCCGATACAGAGTGTCCAATCAAATGTTGTATTAGTTCAAACTGAAAAATATATTGAGGTCGACATTGAAATACGTCAAGACGCGTAGCTAAGAAACGTCTGCCCTCGACTATTTCGCGTTTTATTTAAATATCTATATAACTAAAGCAAGTTGTTTCCTTATTTTTAGGTAGGAATATGTTTTTGGCCACCAATGCAAACTCTAAACTTCTGCTACGTACCAGAGAAGAACAGAGTTCCAGTAGTGAGCGCCTGCAGTTTGGTGTGGTGCTGTTTCCTATCGTATATGCACCAACTGCAGATCAGACGAGAAATGGAGCTGAACGGCCACGCAACACTAAAAAACTGACCTACCGATGATTCTGCGATAGCTCAAATTCTAGCGAATATTACAATTAACGAATTATTTATTTATATTGTTTTGAAAAGTGATATCATGTCTGTGTTATGTGTGATTTGTATTAATTGTTATTTTAAAATATATATGATTTCTGTTATTTTGCAGTTTTTTATAAGCTCGGAATGTGTTTCTGCTTTTGAAGATAAATGCCACAAAAGTACCACCTGCTTCTAGAACCGGTCACTAGAGAAGTGTACTTGCGTGTTTAGGTGACACTTGTGATGCTATCGTAAATGCAGAGATGTCACAGACAGTGTAGCCTTAACACTTTATCGTCATCAACAATTACTTGTGTGACCTCTACCATCTTATACCGTGCAGATGGTTCCTAATGAGGATGAGACAGCACCATACCCATGCTGTCCCATTTTACTCTCCCCGTCTGAATATGCAGTTTCAAACAAAAGTTGTAGCGTTTCTAGAGGTCAAATTGACGGTAAACTGGACAATGACCTTGACTAACACATCAAGCTCATCTCAAGTTCAAGTGAATATTGCTAAATAGAATCCCTCCTTTTTCACATCGGAATTAAAAAGAGGATCAAATTTCACATCCTTGGATCATGTTGCTCACGACTTTGACCATTCAAGGTCAAATAGAGAAATTGAAAACAATTTGTCGTCATAAAAATGTTCGACAGTACAGTGGTAAGGTGTGTGGGAATCATCCAAAGGTGACCTTGGCGTTCAAGGTCAAGAGAAAATTTCGAAAAACTCTTTGTTTTACTCGAAATGAAAAAGGACATTTTACGTCTGGATGTGACCTTGAACTCAGAGTCGTGTCTAGTTAAAATGTTACTTGAGGACAAGGTTACATCCGAACGTAAAATTTTCCAGTATAAATATGAGGAGTTTCCTTTGGAAATGTTTAGTCAATGCCAAGGTGATCTTTGGACGATCCCCACACACCTCACGACTGTGCCGTCGAACATTTTTACTAGAGCAAATTGTTTACGATTTCTTATTGTGATCTTGATGGCATTGGTCAAGGTCATGGCCATACGATGATGTTCGGGCGTGAAGTTTGCCCCTCTTTTCCGATGTGAAAAAGGGAGGTTCCATTTGATAATATCCACTTGACCTTGAAGGTCGCAATCAAGGTCTTTTCAAGACCATCCTGCTTTTGCACCTTGAAAGCCTACTACTTTTGTCTAAAAGCTGTTCATTTATGACTTTCTGCTTTAGATATGAAGTGCATATACGCAAAAATAGCTTTTGCTTTGTACACGTTATTCCCCAATTCGCAAATGCAAATGATATAATTAAAAACCTTCAATACTTAGTGAAAATACACTTTATTCGTTACAGAAAGACAATACGGTTACATTTAGATTTTCAATCATATCACCTATCCTTTTTGAATTGCGATTCCCAATCGCTTCTCCATTCACCTACCGTCAAAGAATGTGAAGCTAAACTCCATCCTGAAACAGGTAAAATTAAAAAATTAAACCAATATTGCATCAATGTTATCGGATATTATAATTGTAACGCTCTAATAACTGGGACCTTGAGTAACGAGGGAACGCCTTCGCAACATCGACGCTTATGCAACCAGAATTACGGCGTATGAAGCGTGCGCGACGCCATTACGAATATTCAACACGTCTGGAGAGATAAATCTGCTATGTAACTTCAATGAAGCCGTCTGGAAGGCCTCTGGAATTCATCGATTGAAGATAAATACCCGACCAGATGGCGGAAGCAGTCAGTCACAGTCGTGACAATCAACGACGCGAAAGCTATCAGTCCATTCGACATGGTGGTACATTTGACATAAATTAGTTGTAAGTGTGGAGTAATAGATTAGATTTTGGACAGTAAAAGCCTCTCCACACTCACGCGAGAACCTCGCGGGTAGCAAGAAAAACATGAGAAATGTGAATGTATTTTCAAGCAGAACCGATTTTGTAGAATACAAATTTAAAAGGATATAAAATTAAACTAAAAGCCCAGCATGCTCGGAAACGTATTAGTACCTTGATGGAATTACCCATTGGAAAATTAAAAAGCAAAAAAATAATTATCAGCCAGTTACGCAGGGTATAAAAATAAAGTCAAGAAATCATAAAAATCTGGTGTTGGTGTCGACCACATTCAATTCTGCGTCCATCATCATCGAGCACGACAACTGTATTGAAAACCTTGCGAGTGTGGACTCAAATAAGTTCTCGCCGAGATTTTCGCTGAGGTTCTTGCCGAGATTCTCGCGTTAGTGTGGAGCGGCCTTTCGAATGGTGTTTTCGTTACGTAATTTTTGCCACTAAATAGCAAATAAAATACAAACAGATATACTGGATGCTGTAAGGCGAATTTCACACATTCCAGTATTACAGGACGGGTCCATGAGAAATGCTTGATCCATAAAATGTTGCCCTTAACATACAACGTCCGGTTCAAATGGCACAAGCGTCAAGAAGTACTGCTTGTCCGCGGTGGCGGTTCAACAGGCCACTTTGGGTCTATAATCTATTATTTAAAAAAAGGTCGTAAAAACGTCCTAAAAAATGATTATGGATCCTTCCTGTGCTAAAAACTCCGAACGTAAACTCACCACTCACCCTTGGAATGTCCAAGTGGCAGGTATACATTTCAAGTATTATGTGTAAATGGCAACACTGATTTGATACCGATAATATTATCCGTGTGTGAGTGGACAGCACTGAGGCAGTGTTGCCATTTACACTTCCCATAATGCTCTAGTCGTATACTAGTGGTATTTGTTATATGTCCTGTGAACTTACCGTTTATATGTAAGGCAGTATCAAACATAGCATACTCTTGTTTCACGAAATCATTAAAATCTAATAATTGGTTGATTGGAATGTTACTGTAACGTGTAGCTCTTTCATAGGACTTCATAAACGTATATATCCTTGTTATAGGAGTTGGATGGCGTAGTTGCCTTTTTGAGTAAATATCCTACCGATAAAAAACACACATTAAGATCGCCAAAAAATATACTGTAGGCGCCAAAATTAGCGTCCCATTGCTCTGGGAGTGTCTCCCGACTTCAATCATCACTACGACCTTTGAAACCATGGGGGTCGCTTTTAAGTAACCTTCCCGATGCTTCCAGATATTTCAAGAATAACAATGGCAATAAGAGCATATAAAATGCTACAAGACAGCTTTAAAAGTGCACTAGCTTTTAAGAGAGCGTATGTTGGGGACATCTTTGTACAGTTTTTACTATGACTTTAACGTACAATTTCGTAAAAATTTCTCGTGTTTTTGTCTTACATCTCAATTTTAGTTTAATCTTACTTTATTATAATATACCGTTCAGTCACCTCCGCGGACATCTATGTGTTGACGCTGCCCTAGCTCTCTTCGTTATTAAGATTTAATTGTACGAGGATGTACGAATATGTCGCTTTAAACAGAGGTGAGTCTAAGATTTGTACATCTCTAAAGGTGCCCAGGTGTGGTGTCTGGCAGAAAACGGCTCTTAATAATTAATAATCCCGAAATAGTAAAGCAGTTTTCGGAGCTGATTCTAACGCCTAGTATATTACACTCACTCAGAAATTATCATTCCGATAATGTTTAGAGTGGTCTCAGAGTTAAATCAAGACTTTTTACAAAAAAATCGAAAGTCACACACTTACCAGGTTAACGCCGTTGTATATGGAAGTTGCAACAGCTAGGCAAACAGCATGGAAGTATGCTGCTACCAGTTGTTCAACAGTTTCGCCTTTCAACATTGAAACATATACTTTCCGTTTCTCTAGATCGACAAGCAATAAATAATTTTTGTCTCTATACACGCAGAGAACCTGTGTAACGTCAGCCCAGGTGTATCTTTTCAATACGCTCTGCAATGATTCGCCTACTATGATTTTGAATCCGCAGTAATTCTTCACTGGAAATCGGTATCGATCAGTATGGGTTATCTTAATATCCATCTTATTCCAAACTAGATACTAGGGAGTATGATCTAAGGTTAGAAAAAACTACAGGACTAGTAAGATAAGTTTCTTATTGATGATGCAATTTATTAGCATGTGCATAATACTTTAATAACTCAACAGCTTGGTTTCATGAAAAAGCGATCAACAGTTACAAACTTATTCTGTCATGTACAGTATACAGGGTGACTTCGCCAGTTGAGTCATTTATTTTAACAGTGAGTAGATCTGATCAAAAGAACTGTTTTTTCCTTTACCATTTTTCTGGTAAAATTAAAGTAACAAAGTTATAGCCCTTTGGAAGTTTGAGTACCGCCCTGTCTCAATAATAATATCATGTGCTCGTGTTTGGCAACAACGGATATAATCCGCCTTATCGGTTCATCGCATCGGAAACAAAAAAGCGAAAGAATTTGGAACGATGTTTTTACAATTATTTTATTCAGTTCAGTTATACATACAGTTAGTGTCAGTCGGTAACGCGTGTGAATAGTGTCTGTTGCGTGGCTCAAACGAAATAAATAATGGCACATGTTTATGCGGATCGGTTTCCCAATCGAGTGCAACCAACCCCTCGTGCCTTTGTTAATGTAGTACAACGGGCTCGTGAATCAGGTGACTTAAGACCTCACAGGGGACCTCACGATCAAATACAGGTCCGCACTGAAATACTTGTCGGGAGGATACTTTATAAAACAAGGTAAAATTTTTTTTTAATTTTTATTTTTATTTTTACACACATATTTTGGTTTATCTTCCTTCTACAATCATTATCTGAAAATTAATGACTCAACTTCAAATTCACCTTGTATATCTGAAAATATAGATTGATCACGTTTATACTGACTTCTTGACAAATTAGCTAACTTTGGCATAATGGGTCACTTCCATGTGTTTAAAAAATCCTCTCTATCTGAGCGAGTGACATACGTAATTCACAACAGCTTCAGATTTACCAGTTATACGATTACGTCTGTTGTCCCTCAAGGGCCTGTCTTGGGGCCATTATTTTTCATTATGTTTATAAACCATATACAGGGTGTCCCAGAAGTCGACGTCAAGCCGAAACCGGGTGATAGGCAAAGTCATCACAGCTATCAGAAAAATATTTAAAAAAATTATGTATGTGTTTTGAAAATTATAGGTCTTTGAAAAAGATATAGAAATTTCACACCCTACGGCAGTCTGTCAACTCCTGTTACTACAAATATTAACTTTTTTGGATTTTATTTTTACAATGTAATGATGAATAATGCATCTTCAAACTGGTGTCTCAACCTTACTGCCAACTTTTCTCGTTCAGGAAAAATTGCCACTTATTTCCCAACCAAGTATTCCAAAGTAAAACTTTGCTCAACTTTAACTGGCTGTACTGGAAAAAAGTGTACTACGAGAGTTTGGCAAGTAACCTTAAAAGTTGGCGCATTTAATGAGGATTCCAAAATGGTATAACATTTAGAAAATTACTCGTTAACTTATGCACAATTTTTATTTGAAGAAAAACTGATGAAAATTTTTCAAAATTTCCTAATTAAACAACGATTATGAAAACGCACAAGGACCCTTAAAGACAACTGTTTGCACAACAGTGGGCGTCAAAATGCTGCTGATGATGATTTACCTTTACAGCAAATGCCCAAACTGTTTTTCTTCAGCCGCAATACACGCTCGACATCTTCTTAAAAAAGATCGGGTTATTAAACGAGCGAATCCACGGTTATTAACAAACTCAGCTGCTTCCAATAGTCTTTGCCGTAGCTCAGCTACATTTTGAATCGGCTTAAAATACACTTTTTCTGTTACAGTTCGCCAGTAAAAAAAATCTAACGGATTCAAATCTGGTGACCGGGCTGGCCACGGTATTATACCAGGCCGCCCTATCCATCTGCCTGGAAAGTTTTGATCGAGATACTCCCTCACTGAGAGTGCATAATGCGCTGGGCAGCCATCATGCTGAAACCACATGTCCCTGTAAATACTCAGTGGCACGTCCACCAATAAATTTTGTACATGATTTTTCAAAAAATCCAAATAAGCTTCAGCAGTCAAAGTCTCTGGGAACTCAAACGGACCGATTATTTTACCATTTAAAATTCCTGTCCAATGGTTTATCTTGAAGCGATATTGAGATTTATCTTCTCTCATCAAATGTGGGTTTGCTACGTGCCACTCGTGTAAGTTATGCAGGTTCATTGCTGTAAAGGTAAATCATCATCAGCAGCATTTTGTCGCCCACTGTTGTGCAAACAGTTGTCCTCAAGGGTCCTTGTGCGTTTTCATAATCGTTGTTTAATTAGGAAATTTTGAAAAATTTTCATTAGTTTTTCTTCAAATAAAAATTGTGCGTAAGTTAACGAGTAATCTTCTAAGTGTTATACCATTTTGGAATCCTTATTAAATGCGCCAACTTTTAAGGTTACTTGCCAAACTCTCGTAGTACATTTTTTCCAGTACAGCCAGTTAAAGTTGAGCAAAGTTTTACTTTGGAATGCTTGGTTGGGAAATAAGTAGCAATTTTTCCTGAACGAGAAAAGTTGGCAGTAAGGTTGAGACACCAGTTTGAAGATGCATTATTCATCATTACATTGTAAAAATAAAGTACAAAAAAAGTTAATATTTGTAGTAACAAGAGTAGACAGACTGCCGTAGGGTGTGAAATTTCTATATTTTTTTCAAAGACCTATAATTTTCAAAACACATACATACAATTTTTTTAAATATTTTTCTGATAGCTGTTATGACTTTGCCTATCACCCGGTTTCGGCTTGACATCGACTTCTGGGACATACAAGTAAGTTGTCGATCTCATGTTTCTTTGTTCTATTCGGTCACTTAATGATTGTGGAAAGTTACAATATGACATCAAAATGCTTGATAGCTGATATCTCAAAAATAGCTTGCCTTTAAATGTTGTGAAGCGTAATGTGGTCAGGTTACACCAAAAAAACTCAAACAATCGTATTTGGTTATAATATTGGTTGACCGCCTCTCAATTGCTTACGCGAAGTCAAGGATTTAGGTGTCACCTTTAAGAGTAGGAATTGCTTCAATAGTCATATGGGGACAATTATTGCTGATAGTTACAAGTGATTGGAGGCTGTGGTCGTGAATTGTAAGACATTAATATAGTTAAGCTTTTATGTTGCTCACTTGTTATAGTGAGTATAGGGAAGTTAAGCTCCGAACATGGTACAGCTAGTCCGTTTGCTAATGTCATATAATATTGTGACGTAACCACCAAAAACCGTGAAAAGAACTATACACAAGTTATAACGTCATACCAAAACACGAATACACTAAACCGGTGATCCCCTTCTTGCCAAAACATTAAGCATTTTGCATGTGTCCTGAAAGTTAGAATTTTCTTTTCCAGAAACAACTAGATTTGCGATAACAAAGCTGATGTAAGCTGAAACAACATATACACTAACCATTTCGTTTCGCCCCAAACAAAAAAAGAAATCACGAAGGATCTTGAAAAACGATCTGCATGCATTCGCGAAGCCTCGGTAGTATTTCGAAGACACTCACCGTAAATTAAAATAATATGGGTAACTCCGATATTGCTGTATGTTTATTTTGTTTTTTAGAACCAATGTGTAAAGGTTTTGTTTGCCAATATACAATATACAAGATGGCATCTACCATAATCGACTGTCAATGAAATACATCAAAATAAAAATATTTTTACCTTTGACCCCAAATCCTAATATCACAGCTTCGTTTTTGTTGACTTTCACTGGATTTAAAACTGTGCCAACATTAAAATATGTCTTGAGTACCAAAGCCATTCTTTGGTCATTGAACGTATCGAATATCAACGATTTAACAGCCAGATAATTGAATGTTATATGTAAAATAATAAGGGTTGCGATGAAAGACCATTCTGCCCTAGAAAATTACTAAGATCAGTAGAATCTATTTGTAACAACAAAGAGAAGTATATTATACGGCGATTTTAGGAATTTTCATTCGCAAAACTTTTTGCCAACGGCCTCATTAGAAACATTGTGTATTTGTCGATCTAAAAAAAAGGCATTCACAATTTACTGTTATGGATTTTAAACAGTTTAGGTTGCATGGAAAAATATATTATCTAATGCAAAGTTCTTTATCAAAAAGGCCTCAAGTAGCGAAACTATCAAAATCATACAATAAGCAATATTTTTGAAATGTGGTGTACCTCAGGGTACAGTGTGTTAGCCCCTCTTTTATTTAATATGTATTTGGATGATATATATATATATATATATATATATATATATATGTATAATAAAATAGTCAGTTTTGCTGATGATACGGCAATACTATATGTAGGTAAGACTGGTATGATTTAAAAAGGACAATCGAAAATAACGTAAAATCATTCATTTTTTCAATAGGACTAGAAATCGTGAACAATGGAAAAACGCATTTTCTACCATTCACATCATAGTACGCAATACATCTACCCGATTATTCAAAACTTTCCTTCAAAATAAACAACAAAAAATTTAAAATTGACAGTGAACAGTATCAAAAATTTAGGAATTATAGACCAACATTTCAGGTGGGATGTATTCATGCAGCCTGAAGTTACTTAAGTATGTGTGTGCGGTTGTATCCCTCCGAATGACACACTTCACCTGCTATTACATTTGTACATATTGAGGCACAATCGGAAAAATACGAAAACAACCCTCTTACACGTTTCCGTTGAGCATTTGCAACAGGTATATGCTCAATGCGCTAGCGACCAGATTTACCATCGTTTCTTGGCTGCCATCTTTGGCCGATATCTCCGCCATATTGTCCCTGATAGCCTGGTGGTGGGTTATGGAAGCTCTCGTTGCGCCCCCTGCTACACCTACCTATTATACAAATATTTACACAAACTGTCATATACATGCAGAACGTTATCAATAATAATACTATGCAACTCAAGTAACTCATAGTAAATGCCAACACTGTGTCGATGTCGCATGTTCAGCAGTGTGTGATTTGGCAAAGCGCGCTACGAGTGGTCGAGTCTCGCTGCTAGGTGAACAGTACACGACCAGTGTTGACACATTTTCTATCATTTCCCGATAATATCAGTTATCAGACTTTTTGCACAACTCGGCAATCCCGCATTTGAACCCTCTATGATTCAACCAGTCAGAACGCAGGACTTTTTAAAGCAGCCAATCAGAGCGCAGGATCCCGAGTGTACACGAATGCGGAGCTTGGAAGCCACTCGCAACGTTGCCGAGTCTACCGATTTTTCGGTAGTTCTAACGAAATGAGACAAATACCGAAAACGTCCTCGTTTTTCACGATTTTTTAAAATAATTTAGATATTTTACTAAAAACGAGCTGGAACAAAAAAAAAAGAGCTGAAATGATAAGTTACATGTAGTTTTATGCCCCATATCAGTCATCATACATATGGGTACAATTAGAGGATCGGCCAGAAAAGTGATCAGTATGCTCATTGTTATTAAATTTTTTATCATGTCACATAAATTAATGATTCTATTCCGTAAATCATCCCCCCCCCTTTAAAGTGTCCCCAAGGGTTTCATCTCGGGCGGCGAGCGTGGCGGCCCTAGTTGTGGACCTGCTCTCCCAATGAAGTGAATATGGTATTGTGGTACTACCACCATACAAACTTACTATTGATTTCATGGCTGATGTAGTACAAAGGATCTGCATAGAATTTGCTTGAAACTGAGGGACAAACAATTCAGTCACCATGGCTAAATCATTTAGAATGTCTGCAAATAGTCGCCATTTTTTGCATTCAGAATCCAGTTTGTTTCTGAAAATAAATGAAAATGGTTTCTGTTTTCAGATGACTCCAGATCACTGTTGAGAAATTTTTTGGTCAGAAATTATCACTTTTTGTGCTGTATAACATTCACAAAAAGCTTCTAAGCATGATTAGTAATTTGTAATTTACCCCTTCCACCAAGCAAAAGTAATCCTCCCAATCATTCCAGTGCCATCTTTAACGATCCATGTGATTGCTGCTGAAAGGGCATTGGCTTTAGCATCACCAACCCCGACACCCTTCAACACTGCTCGGGTAGTGAAAGCACCTGTTATAGTACTGCAAAATGCTTGAGCTGTATCCCATATCTGTAAGTAAATGTTTGAGATGCAAAGTTCAAAACACCAAGGAGCTGTAGTTTCAATACATCTAAAAGTTTCTAAATATCAAACCAGCCTAAGAGCTGCAGCCCGTAGTGGTTTCAGTGTGGCCATCACTAGTGCACAGCAACAATAAAATATGATCATATATCAGCAAAGTAGAAAGAAATAGGTTGGCTGAATGTGGGAAAAAACTGAATATGTAATTACACTGTACATAAATCAATAGTGACTCCCACACCATCTTATTTATTTGGAAAATGTGCCAATACCTAGAATAAACATACATTCTCTAAACTTAAGATGTGGCGATAACTGAATTTTACCTACATTCAACACTATTTCAAAAAATTTCTTCATATAACACTGAAATTATAGAATCAAGTGAATGATCAGACTAAAAAATACGCCATATTATTATTTAAAAATGATATTGGGCATATGCTTTTATTATTTATTACAATCCATATATCTGATCGATAAAATATACCTGATATTGCAGGTAGTCTGGGCTGACACTATCAGGATAACCATGGGGTAGCAACAGCTCTCTAAAGAACCCTCCAAGCCGCCTTAGGGCCGCAAAAAAAGGAGTAGACTGGAAAATTGGAGCTATCTCGTTAGGGCCTGTATGGAAGAATAATAAACTTTTCAACTTGCCTAGAAATTGATATCAGGCTCAGACAAATATATAACCCCTCAATAATAAAATATAGCAAATATTTCACCTGAAAAAATTGTCACGCATTTTAAGTTATCAACTTGTAGAATAACTAAAAATTTTTATTTTTACATTTCTCAGGATTTGAATATTTTCTTACCTCCTCTTCCATATGCAATAACATTTCCAGTAGATCCGCATTGTTCTGAAAGTGCGACTTCTATCTGCGGCATCTTGAGCAGAGCCCCATTCAGAATATCAGAAAAATAAATAAAATGCAACCGGCTTCAAATCGGCATATTTTTGAAAATTTTGAATATGCCAGAACTACATGACAACACCGAACTGACAACACAACAAGAAAACAGCTGATAGCATGTAATCATTATTCGAACATGGAGATGGAATACTCCCTATTCTTAAAGCCGGTCATAGACGTAGTTTTGATTGTCATTTCGAGTTGGGTCAACAAATCAACAGATGGTTAGTTGGCTTGTAAACATTTGACATCCAAACATCAGCCAACTTTGATGAACAATTAAAGTGTACTAGCACAAAACATATACACTGAAGAAGGTTTAGTCACGTGCTATCCATAGGGCAACATGGTCGATTTATGTCAGTGTCAATCGCTATTTTTTCTGGGTGCCACATGTTTGTCAGAATATGCGTCTGCATAAATCTGAGACTCTTGTACAAATATATATTGGGCATTTACTAATGATATATGGAAAAATATGTTTATAACGACATGTATTATTAACATATTTTTGCTGTTTTGACAAATAAGTAATCACTTATCTGTTTAAGCAGCAGCGTCAATAACACATGCCATTATCAAATCATCCATATATCTCTCTATAGCTATTTGAACATTTGAGAACAGTAAAATAATCTATACATATTTTTATCTAAATTTCATATTGTATGAACACATCGATAATATTTATAGTCCAAGTATTTTAATTTCTGGTGATGGTCCTCTGCAGCACCTGCATGGAAAAATTGTTAGAATTACTGATGAAAACAAATTATTTCAGAAAGAAATAATAGTTATCATTAATAACTGTAAGGTTACTAGAGTTACCAGATTTTTCATAAGAATTATAACACAGGGACATCTAATCACATTTCCATAACAGTGATAATCAGAATGTAAAAGTTTTACGGAAAATATGATTATATATAACTTAGGAATTTTTACAGCATGATTAAAATATATCATACTTTTTAAGCTATACATATTTACCAAAGTATTCATTCATATTTATATTCAAAATTGAAATTTATGGAAATTGTCGTTAGTATCTTATATCGACAACAGAATACCACATTTGTGACTGTTGAATCACGTAGAAATCCTCAATAGTTGTAATGTTCTAACAAATACATCCTTCCAATTTAGAAACTCTTTATCACTAAAGCTCTTTTTCAAGCGATAAGGATGCTCCCTTTATCGATTATAATCATTTAGAAAATTGAGTTGCTCTCTTATACAATCTCATCAACATGTTAGGTGTTATACACTAGATTCTAAAGTTCATCAACTCACAAAAATGTAGTTAGATATCCTGTTTCGCTCAGAAGAGTTGGAGGTAGACCTAATTTCCACTTTGGAGACACTTGACAACTACGTCACAACACTGAAACACCAAAGCAATACTGAGAGACAATCGAGAACCCTATAGTGAACACCACTAGTGAAAAAAGTAGCTAAACCGAATAGAACGCGGAGACATTCCGCTGCGCCGGCGGTTGCCGAGAGACTGAAGCGTGTGAGTGCTGCGGTCAACGTAAACATCGAGTCTCTTCGGGAGCAGACGCGAGGAGTAGGAGCTGGAAAGGGGCGTGGCTGTACTACCCGGCCGTACCGTATCACGCCACAGCGAGGTACAGCACTCGCTCGCTTCAGTCTATCGGCAACCGTCGACGCAGCGAAATGTCTACGCGTTCACAGCTCCGTAGAGAGCTCTATTCGGTTTCGCTACTTTTTTTCAGTAGTGGTGTCACTATAGGGTCCTCGATTGTCTCTCATTGGTGTGTTGGTGTTGTGGCATGGGTGACAAGTGTCTCCAAAGTGGGAATTAGGTCTACTTCTAACTCGTCTGAGGGAAACAGGCTATCTGTGCAGGAACCTATAGGTGAGCCTTGCATACTCATCTATTTGTGTGTTAGGGTTGAAATCCTATGTTTTTTTAAATAAATTGTGCATATTGCATACACTGAGAAATTATTATACTGAGGTATTTGGGAAAAACAAAAATTTGGCCAAATCGTTTTTATTTTTGTCTGGAACTATATGATGGTGTTTTTAAAAAAGTGCTACACTAAAAATATCATTACCAATCTAGTCTTTGCCATTGTGACTGTCGAGTTCCCGAGTTAGTCGACGTCCGTCAGTTGGTCATGTCCTTTATTTGCCGGGAAGATTTGGATTCACAGAAGCACAATCATTGGTGGCACATTGGCTAAGACCTGTAAAGCTGACAAGAGAAAATAGACGTCAGTGAGTGGCTTAACACCTAATATGAATATACGGTTAGGAATTCATATTCGGTCTTCAATTCCCATCACTAATCATTAGTGGTGGGTAATCAATACTTTTGCAAGTATCGAATAGATACCGATACTTTATCTGTAAGTATCCCATACTGAGTATGCAATACCGATACCAAGTATCGTCTCGATTAATTGCCGTTAGTATCCGTTAATTTAATATTGCTAGTGTGAAATAATAATAATCCTGTTCGTGTCTTTATGTCGCTGATCCAGACCCCGACCTTCGATTTTATTGCACTGGTCAGCCGTGGTGACATGGGTCATGCGCCTGATGCCTGATCATGATGCCAATATTGAATATTCTTATATTAAATATTTCAATAAACAAAACAATAAAGACAACATACATCAACTAATCAATATCATTCCAATGTCGCCTATTATTTGTAATATGACGTGCACATTATGTTATATTTTATTTTTAGATTGATAAACACTACAAACCAAACGACACAATCCGCATTTCGCACATGCGACGGGAGTATCTCTGTCTACACTACAGTACTACATTAATCAAATTCAAGCGTATAACCAAATGGAAATGGTATTTACCATTTTGGGTTGGTATTTACCAATCCGTTCAAGCGAGTGTAGTTATCAGTTTCGTTATAAGATCCGTGACGTCATGAATCAGCTGTTATATGTCATAGTTATCACCGCAAAATTGTGGTATTTACCCAACTCAAGAGTAGTTTTATATTTCTGGTTATTATTTGAAATGTGACAAGTTAGAATTTTGCCGGGTATTTGATATTGTTATTGTACTTCAGCTTCATTTTTGAGAAAAATGATACAGGCTGACTTTTTACCATAAAGTGGAGCACCTTATTAGTTATACTCATTACGGTTGTTTTGGACACTTTAAATGTAGTTCCTATGCTTAACAAAGTATCCTGTGTAGACATATACCACAAGAATATTAAAATATGGCCATATAAACTCACTAGATGATATCCACCTGTATACGGTTTTGCTAATTTCTTTTTTCATCATTTCTGCTGAATCAATAAATGTTTTCTTTGACATGCGGAAAAATTTAGAGAATTGAAAGTTATCATAGCTACAAAGCCATGGTTCCATCATTAAAAAAAATCTGAAGAAAACATTTCTCCCATGCATATTATGAAAGGTTTCTTATTTCAACTTTCCATATACAGTTGTAGACGAAAAAGCACCGATTATTAAGTGTTAATAAAAATAATCAGAGATTATATACGCGCTTTTCTAAAATAAACAACTTGCAACAAAACCGCGGTTAAAACCAACGCGTTCAAGCGATTCGTGTAACTGACGTCGTCAACCCGTGTGTCATCTTGAACCATATTATAACCGCGGCACATAACACAGAAATTTTGGTTATTCGCTTGGATTTGATTTATGTATAAATAGTCAGATTGTCAGTATTGATTACAGTATTCGATAGATTTATCAAAAAGTATCGGATACTTCTGACTTCGGAAAGTATCGGATAGATACTTTTTGCCCACCACTACTAATCATGTTTGACAGAAAAATGTGAGGTTAGGGGAAACGGAAATGTAAAAACAAATATATTTACAAAAATGTTGAAAAAAGCTGTGATATTCACATCATTGTTAGTACTTCTATTTGCAGTTTGGACCGATAAAGCTTCTGATTTCTTACCAGCAGTGATCAGACAGTTTTTTATTCAGAGGTCTCCAGCTCAGCCATCTCGTGAGGTGCTGCTAACTTTGGAGGAGTTGCAGTTGTACAATGGCAAAGACAGGCCCGAATTATATTTGTCCATTTTAGGAGAGGTGTTTGATGTTACTAAAGGGGCCAAGCATTATGGCGATGGTTGTCAGTACAATTTTTTTGTTGGTGAGTGCTTTCTCAAGAGCCATATCATCATGTTTGGCCTAAAATGATATTTGATGATGGATGGCGGATGGTATTGGCTAAAATCTATAGTACAGTCGATAAAGCAAATTTTCTATTGATCTCAGATCCCAAAAATAAGCAACTGAAGTTAGTTCTGGGATGAAATATTTTCTTCAAAAACAATATGAAGAACCATTTCACAGATTTAAAGTAGTGTTCTAGAAAACTGCGAATTTTTCAATTATTTTAAAATTCTGATTCCAAAATTTTTGAAAATTCAGATTTTAACTTAATTTTTTTCTGGGTATGGATATTGTTGCACAAGGTTGTCAAGGACAAGCTCAAAAGATGCAAAAACATTACCACACAAAAATATGTTATATTTTTTAGGAAAGGATGCTTCTAGGAATTTTATAACAGGAAATTTTAATGATGAAGATGCTTCAGACCAGGTAGCTGATTTGAGCCATGATAAATTGTTAAGCCTCAAACAATGGAAGCAGTTTTATAGAAAGCACTACACTAAAGTAGGTAAGATGAGATAAATATCTTTCATTGTTCAGAGAAAAGAGTAAAGAGAAGAGAAAAAGTCTGGCCAGGAACAGAAATAAGCTTCGAGCTTACCTTCTAATGCTTTAATGTTCTATTTTGAAATAACTGCTTATTTTCTTAGGAAAATTAATAGGAACCTACTATGATGAAAATGGACAGCTGACTCCTCATGGAAAAGTAGTAAAAGATCGTATAAAAGCTGCTAAACAAAAAGAAAAGGATGCAGATCTTCAAAAACGGATATTTCCTCCATGCAATTTGGAGTGGACACAAGAAACTGGCACAAGAGTCTGGTGCACAGAATTAAGGTATAATAATTAAGAATGTATCCTCTCAAGTTAAAAACCATCGAGAAACTATATAAGGCAACATTGATCACAATGTTATGTTTCAATGTTGATGTTTGTATTACCTGCAACTGCCTTGATACATATAGTATGATGATGATAAAAAAATTTCTATGATCAGCTGATAAAGTACAGTGAAAGCTCCCATAAGCGGACACTCACGGTTCCGTAATTTTTGTCCGCTTATGGGAGGTGTCCGTTTAAAAGAGAGTATGTAAGTATAGAGTATAAATAACGGGGTATATAATCATGAGGAAATGAGGTATTATAATCATGAGAAAAATGAAACAGAAACTCGCCACATTTTTAAAGTATGTATTTATGCTATATATCTATATAATATATGTACATATACACATACAAAAACATAAATGCTTCAATACATGGTACAAGAATTTAAAAAAAACATTATTCTTTAGCTTGTTGAAAAAAGTTTAAAATGCTTGTCTGACGAAATTTCACCATATTTTGCTGAAGGAGACAATTTTCGTAATAACTTTCTAAATTTTTCAAATGTTGAAATGCAGTGAAATCATCTTTAGCAAATTTTTTCAATATAGAAATATGATTTAGAGCTTCCCCATATGAATTTATCGTTTTTGAACCGCTTAGTGAGTCCACCAGTTCCACTTCTTCTTCTGAGTCGTTTGGACTACCATATTCAAGTTGGCCTGGGCTTTCTACATCCAAATTCGAAAAGTTGACAATGGTATTTTCTTCTGTTGTTATGTTATTGTCTATGGCCAGGAAATCATCTACTTTCTGGGGATCTGCTACTCCTAAATGTTTGGCATGTCGCAGTAACTGAGCAAGTGTCGCTAAGGGCAGATCGTCTTCAGCATCGCAATAATTTTGCTCAGCAAATTCTGAGCTACATTCACTTTTTCTGAATCCAGCTTTGCCAAAACAGTTTTTAATTGTAGAGGAATTTACTTTATTCCATGCTGTTTTTATAAAATACAAAGCTTCTAACACATTGATAGACTTTGTAAGCTCAGATAAGCTTTGACCATCGTCAATTTTTGTTAAAATATGTTTTAAAATCAAGTGCCGATAATAAAATTTAAAGTTCTGTATGACACCTTGATCCATGGGCTGACAAACAGAAGTTGTGTTTGGCGGTAAAAATATAATTTTCACATTTTTCATTTTCATATCACGAGGATGAGAGCATGCATTGTCTAAAAATAAAAGAACTTGCCTTTTTTGGATTCTCATTTTCCGGTCGAATTCGACTAACCACTCAGACATGATTTCTCGGGTCATCCATGCCTTTTTGTTGGATTTCCAAGTCGCTGGTAGATCCTTAATAGCAACGTTTTTTAAAGCACGGGGACGAGCCGTTTTCCCGATCACAATCAAATCGCATTTTTTCACCGGCCATATTTGCACAGAATAAAATGGTTAGTCTATCTTTAGACAACTTTCCACCCACACATGTTTCTCCTTTAAAGGACAGAGTTTTGTCGGGCAATGCGCGAAAAAAAAGTCCACTCTCATCTGCGTTGTACACATCTTCTGGTTTGTAGCCAAGCAACATGGACGGAAGTTTCTCCAAAAATTGTGACACATCAACTTGATCTACTGCAGCAGCTTCGCCAGATATGCATTTGAAACTCACACTATGTCTCTTGCGCCACTTTTGCAGCCACCCGTCGGACGCACTGAAATTATTATAGCCCAAAGTAGTGGTGATTTCTTTAGCTTTCATTTTCACTAACGGCCCTGAGATTGGAATGTTCTGACTTCTAGCTTTCACAAACCGCTCAAAACATGTTTTGTTTATAGCAAAACCTTCCTTTTTTAAAAAATCCTTCTTTTGATTTATATTAGTTCCTGATTGCCATTTACTCCTGATATCTTCCTTATTTTTGGCAATTTCAGCTGCTTGCGTTTTCCCAATATTAAACCTCTTTGCCAAATGACGAACTGAAACACTTTCTCTGTCTAATACGTTAACAACTTCCATCTTTTCCTTTAACGAGAGCATCCTTTTTTTTGGTGCCATTTTACAGTTACAATAATAAAATACGTAACTCAATCAACTACGAATTTGCCTGAACTGAAGACAAGCCACAAGATTACATACAGGCTACCCAACGAAATGCGTAAATGGGGAATCACCTAATATAAATCGGGGAATTACCGAATTTTATGTATGTAGATATGTGCATTGCAATAAGCGGAACTAAAAAATCGTCCGGGTATTAGAGTTTCGCGTCCGCTTATGGGAGATTTTTTGATCACATACAGGAAAATCTAGTGTCCGCGTCCGTTTATAAGAGCGTCCGTTTATCGGAATGCATTTAACATTGAAAATTGATGGCTGAAATTCGGTTCCAGGAACTTTGTCCGGTTAAAAGAGATGTCCGCTTATAGGAGCTGTCCGCAAGGAGAGCTTTCACTGTATACTTAATCATTGATGTACAAGGTATCTTATACAAAGTATCTGGAGTACAAAATACAAGATATTTTTAAAATTAGTATTGCAGATACCAGATACAAAATACTTTCTGGAATGGTATCTAAAATACATGTCTTGTAACACTTCTTAAAGATAAAATACTTTTGTAAGAAACTGACTATTTATGAAGTTTATTTTATTTTTATTACATAAATTATTTGTGTTGGTCACACAAATGTGACAAAATATATTTTTAAGGTTTTAATTTAGAAAAGTAGAACCAGTTCTTTGAACATTTTATCACTTATTTATTTATTTGATAAGGCCTTATTAACATACTCACAAAAGACAGTGTCTCTCGACAGGGGCAGAAATTAGCAAACAGGTGTTATATTTGAAAAATATTTTTTTGACAGGATAAGCATTTAACCTTTTTAAACTGTTATTATTTAGGTGTTTCTCAGTCAGCAGTGAAGCCAGCAGACCCTTTTTCCACTGTTAACGTCACTTGCAATCGACGAATCAAATACCTCTAAGAACATGTAAAAGATTTTTTTTCAATATCACTTCCAATATTGTCTAAAGTCTCCCAGACTAAAGTTTCAAGGACGCGTTATGTACAGAGATTCATAGGTCACTATTACTAAAAGTATTCTAGCAAATATAGAATTTGCCAGATACTAAGATACCAAATACAATTTATAAAGAGGATCTTAGATACAAGATGAAAATATGTATTGTGTATCTTGTATTTGTATTTCAGATACTTGTATCTTAAATAAGTCACATCTCTGTACTTAAAGATTATGTTCTCCAAGTGTCAAGTCCCAGTTTCCAGCCTATGGGCTTCTTTGGGCCTTAAGGCAGTAAACCCCAGCTCCCCATCTTTGGGGATGCCCATATTTATTTGTTGTTATCCCCCGATGGCCCGGTGCTGCAACCACAGTCTCCCACTGATATAGTATGGTTAGTTTATTCCTTTTTAGATAACTTAAATAAAATAAATAAAAAAATGATATCCGCAAGGTGGCAGTACAATGACGAAATTCATGATTAAACCGAACGCCTGGCCCACTGGGCTCTGAAGACGCCTAGCCATCGCCGTGTGATTACACAACGTTGTCAGAACGGCGCACCGGCCTAGTCATCCTGCCGGCGCCAGGCTATATGGGATTTTGTTAAATTGTCACCCTTTCATACAACTACCCGTCAACTTTGACAGCCTGTCAGTTCGCCAGTCTTGGAAATGTTATATTCTAGAATAAAGCACTAGTAAGAATGAGGTAGCACCTGACCTTTCAGTCCATTTAAAAAATGTTCCAAAATTATTGCACCCATGAATTTCAGCTAGCTAACCTGACCCGTTCAAACAAAAAGTAGAGGGACCATTGAAAAGCTACTTTGGTTTCAGAGGAAACGCGTACTCACTGATCGAAAGTTATTTGTCAAATCGCCCACAATCTGTGCAGATATCAGGATCATTTAGTAAAGAAATGTATATTAAGTGTGGTGTCCCACAAGGAACTGTCTTAGGTCCGCTGTTATTCAATATATATTTAAATGATATTTTCCAAATTAATTGTGTTGGCAAAATAACTAGTTTTGCAGATGATACTGCAATATTATATGAAGGCACTAGCTGGTCTGATCTGAAAAATGTAATTGAAAATGATTTTATCAAAATTATTCGGTGGTTTAACAGTAGAAAATTAAGCATTAACTACTCTAACACACATTTTTTACGATTTGGATCTTATGCTAGACATCTGCCAAATTACACAAATTTCTCCTTCAATATTAATGATCAAAAAATGCAAATTAATAGAGTGCCCAACATAAAATACCTTGGAGAGGTCTTGGATCCTCACTTACGATGGAACATCCATGTCAATTATATTTTAAAGAAAGCTAGATTTATATCCTACAAAATTAAATACCTTGGGAATATATTGACAGAAAAATATCTTCGAACATTATACCATGCACTGATTGAGCCTCATCTCACATATGGTATATTAGCATGGGGAGCTGCATGTTCCTCACATATCTATAATTTAGATGTTTTTCAAAAAAGTATTCTAAAAATGATATTTAAAAAACCGAAACTTTATCCCACTGAAAATTATACGCAGATGTTCGAATGTATGATATAAGACAGCTTTATTTCTTACACATACTTTCACTCACTACCATAAATTTGTAAACACCGACCAAAAAATTAAACATAATCATTATACCAGGTACAAAATTCGTGGAACCGCATAAATCTATAATGCAGCGATCATATATCTATTTAGCGCCTAAATTTTATGAAATTATACCTAAAGACTTAAAAGATTTACGTTTCGGAAATCGTTTCAAAAGAAATTTAAAAAAGTTGCTACATTCTATATCTAGGACTGAAATTCATAAACTCATAAATATGAACATCAACTAAATACATAATCTACTGTAGCTAATTTTTGTCCTTTTTTGTCATTTGCATTCTACAGTTTCAACTTAAATTATTGGTCCATGTACAGGCGATGCCTTCTATTGGGCCTGTTTTGATTTTATATTTATTTACTCATATTGTTTGTTATCTTTGTACATTGAGTGAATAAATATTATTATTATTATTATTATTATTATTATTATTACTTTGAAAAAATAGACATCATAGGTAGTATAAGTTTATTCACATATATACAGTTTCAGTGGACCCAACAATCCAAATGCATACATATAGACAAATAAACTTCAAAATCCCACTTAAGTATATATACCTGCTAGATACAGATATGAGCATCCCCACTAATATTATAAATGTGTGTATGTTTGTGTGTTTGTATGTTCCGGCTGAACCAATTCCGACGCATTTTGGAACAGATATAGATTAGACCTTGGAGATGAAGGGGTTAAAATGGGGGTAAATGTGACCATGTGCATCAAGAAACTATTATTATTTTAGTTCGTGATATAAATATTGGTTTTTATATATATTTGGTTCATACATATAAATTAAATGAGCACTCACAAAGCAATTTTAGAAATTCCACCCCCAAGCAAGGGTTGAAGCGAGGTAACGCCCTTTGTGCTGAGGAACCTAAGCTATTTCAAATAGCCCAGAAGTAGGGGGTATCTTTTGTTTATAATTTTATCTATAAAATAAACTGACATTAACAAAGGCTTCCGTAAATGATATCCTCGAGATGGGGAAGGGAGGGGGGTGAATATTTCTTATCAGCTTTTTGATTTCTTGTCACCGTTTTGATAAATTTATCTCGAGAACTAAGACATACATATGTATATAATATATATTTTCAAAGAATTTCAAAATTTTAAAAATTTTTAGAATCTTCAAAATTTAAAAAAATCATAAGATTCTCAAAATTTTACAAATTTAAAACCTCAAAATCTTAAAGATTTTCGAAAGTTTAGAAATTTTCAAAATTTATCAAGCTTCAAAATCATCAAAATTCTAGAAATTTTCAAAATTTTTTCGATTTATAAAATGTTCTAAATTATTATCACACGCGTGGCAACACGGTAACTAGTCAGCATGGCGAACGACGCACCTGTCTTAAATAGGGCCAATAATCTTCCGCGGAGGGCGTGGTCAGCGGGAGGCGTAGTTTTGCCAAAATATTTGTCAAATTACATCTACAGCTCAAAAACCGTTTGAGCAAATGAGTTGATTTTTTCTTTGATAGCTTGTTCTTTCAGTTCTTTATGTCTTTTATCCACATACTTTCAAAAAATCGTTTTCCTTCAAAAGAAAAAGAATTTTTATGCGAAAAATAAATTATATGTGGAAAATGAGCAATAAAGGACGTTCCTTTATCGATTCATAATGCAATCACTTAATTTCATGTCTTTACGATTATTTGTTTCGAAGCTGGGACTGTAAAAAAATTGGCAAAAAAAGTTGTGATTTTGACAAAAAAACATGAGATTATCATAAATCAGTCATTTTTATACACACCCTGAAATAATCAGACAATAAGTGCTCATAATACTGCTCCAAACGCACAGTTGAAAAAAAGGGACGTGCGACCTTAAAGACTAACTCTGAATGTTCAACTTACTCTATAGCCACTCGAGAATTATACATATATCAGGCATAAAGAGAGTTTGTCCCTTTGCGCCTTGGATTCTAACTTCACGCCACTGACCGTGAACGCCCATTTTATGCAGTAGATACATGAATAACTATGATTGCATCGTAATTTATTGTTTGCAGTGGAGGCATATCAAGAGACTGGGTTGGCGTTCCTAGACAGCTGTATGAACCAGGCTCCAAGTCGTATAGATGTGCTTGTATCAGCGACGAAAACAAGGAACTCGGCAGTATTAAAGAATATGACGATTGTGATCCAACTTCTACAAGTTGTTTTATCAAGATATGAGTCATACTGTGTATAATATATTTTTGTACTTAATTTATTTTTCTAATAAATAATTTTTGTTTTTCTACTAGTCGTCGTTCTTATCTTGTTGAAAGTCAATGATCCCCGATGAGTTGTTGATGTTTGTGGTTTTTAGACCATAAACGTGGATAGACTTATCTTTATCACCATACAGCTTTTGGGATAGTGCTAAACAATCATAAATGCAGTTTTAAAAACAAATATGTTGACAGGATAGTCAAATAAATAAAGGAAATTATGGTACCATTTTTTAGTTGTAGCATTATTGATTCAATTTTGTTGCGATATAGAGGTGTAAAAAAAGTGTATTCATTACGTCACTCGAAAGACTCTGCCTGCTTGGCGAAGTCTGTGACCCAAAAAAGGACCTTCTGACTATTCTCAAATTATACAATTAGTAACATTAATTAGTTTCAAAGATTCTTTGTTTCGGATGTGATGGACATTCCTTGTTTTTCAAATAATTCAATTACTTTATTTTTTTATTATGTTTACAATTAGTTAACACGTTCGCTGCCAACTCGGTCTATAAGACCAAAATTGTGTTTGTCTTATTCGCCATCATGGTCCATAAGACCGAGAAGGAATTTTTCCAGCCTCGCCAACGCGGTCGATTAGACCGAGCCGAATATTCAATCCTCTTTCGCCAGCTGTTTAATTTTGCATTGGTTTAACGCTAGTAGTAGACCGAGTTGGCGTCTGAGGATTGTTGACACATATCAGTTATGTAAAAAATTGATTGAATTTTAATATTTTGTTATTTTATTTCTGGATATGGTAGGTTAGAGAAACAACAATAATTTACTTTATAAATCGTTTATTTTTACAAAAATCTAGAACGAAAACCAGCAGTTTACATAATAATAAATAAAAAACGTAAGAAAAAACTTAATTATTCTATCTAAGGAGTTTCATATCTATGAAACTTATTAAAGCATGATAAGCAGAAAAACGGTTCACCATTACAACCTTTACAATAATAACGTCCTCTAGTGAGTTTTCGTGCTTCTTTCCATCCTTTTTCGGCTCTCACTTTTTCATAGCATCTACTGCAAGGTCTTCGTTTTTTATAATCACTTTTGCCCATTTCGTGCTTTTGGCGTTTTCTTTTTGGAATCATCTCTGCATCTGGTTGCTCTGCTAACCCATCGTCTTGCGCTTGACATAACTTGTATGTAACAGCTTTTCGAAACTGAAGTAAGGAAGTTCTGGCATTTACAGTTTCCTTATACATAATCCATGCATTGACCATTGCAGTATTCAGGATAATCTCTACGGCTAACTTACGGTACCACTTAAATGTTCTACGCAAAGGTGTCTGATAAGCTGTCATCTGATCAGAGATACCAACCAACGACTTTCCTGCGTTATATGCTACAATGGCTTCAGGCTTCTTTACAGTTTTTTGTCTGCGGTTTGTCGTGTCTACTGTTGTGTTGCTATGTTTGGTAGAAAGCACTAAAACGTTGCGTTTATCATTCCAGGAAATTACTGTGACACCGTCCTGATTTTCGAGAGCGGCTATCTCTCCACATTTAAGTTTTTTGTTGACCAGGTCTTTTGAAAGGCCTCGTCTGTTTTTTCGCAATGTGCCTATCAAATATGTTTGCCTATCCATCAATCTTTTTGCCAAATCTACACTTGTAGACCAGTTGTCTGTTACAAGAGTGCGGCCCGAATCTAGTATGGGCTCAAAAAGACTCATAACTACAGATGTGGGTGTAGTATGACCTTGGTCTAAATTTTTTCCTGTATAAATTTTAAAGTTATAGGTATATCCTCCTTTGCTGCACAATTTGAATACTTTTATTCCATACTTATGGCGCTTGTTTCTTATGTACTGTCGCATTATTAATCTTCCCCTAAATGGAATAAGGGACTCATCCATGCAACAAGTCTCGGAAGGTTCATATGATGTTTTAAAATTATGTACTATTTTGTCAATCAAAGGTTGAGTCTTATGCAGTCTATCATTATCTGGATTATCCTGACTATCTGCAAAATGCAACATATGTAGCAACAGCTCAAATCTATTACGTGTCATTACTTTAGAAGCCATAGAGTTTTTATACATAGCTTCTCGGCTCCAGTAGGCTTGTATATTAGGCATTTTTACAATACTTATGTACGAAAGCAAGCCAAAAACTTTCTTGATTTCATTTCTATCTGTAGGGAACCAATTATGTAACCTAGATGTACCTTTTACATCTGCTTCATCTGTAATAACTTGCGTGGCATATAGATTCGTTTGGTCAGCAATGTATTGAAAAATAGAGTAATTAATTAGTGAAAAATAAAACATTTCCAGAGGTTCTTCACGCAAAAGCTCAGCAAGATGGGGTTCAGTACCAGTTTGTTTGGTAAAGTTTAATAAAACTGGTTGTCTACCTGTTGGAATACTCCATATCACATTATCCGAGGCGGCGCCGGCGTTACCAGCTAAATTGTCATCTGTGTCTGTGTTTGGCATAGGCGCGGAGGCAGCACTACTTCCTGGTAATGGAGAATTTGTACCAGAAGTAACGGATAACTCATCGTCATTGGTGTCTGCGGTTTGCGCAAGCATGGGGGAGGCAGTAGAGTTTGTATCGGAACTATCAGATGATTCATCATCAATAGGTTCGTAGTTGCTGTCTGCGATACTATCGTCTGAAAAAAATAATAAATGCATGAAGGATTGTACGTTTTTGCAGTCTATCTATTCTCGGAAACTTACAAGTCTATGCGATCGATCTACGAAATAAAGAATGTTTCTTACCGTCATCCTCTAATGCAGATGCTTCATCTGACAGATTTTGCATAATTCGCTCTATCTCTTCTTCTAATTCTTTCTGCGTCAAAGCACGACTTCTGGACATTGTAGAAACACAAACTGCAATCAAAAATTAACAACAATAACCGCCTATTCCGTCTGAAAGTGTGTACGTACTGAAATACAATTAGAAAGACAATAGGCACCACGTGCTGAATTGAACAAACACGGACCGAGAAATGGACCGAGTTGGCGCATATGATAAAAAAAGCTACTTCCACGCCGCCTCAGTCTGTTGGACCGAGTGACAAATTTGACAATTTTTAGATGAAAATGACACCTACAAAGAAACTAACTGCAGGTAACGTAATCATAACTAATAAATTTTGACTGGACAAAATGGCTCCAGGGGAACTTTTTTTTTGTTTGGTCTTCTTTTTGTGGCTTTGGTGGCATAATCATAAATATTGCTTGGCAGCGAACGTGTTAAGCCTGCCTTATAATGTAAACTCAAGTTCCTATTAACTACTTGTAGAATGAATTGATAATTAATAAAGTTATTGACTTTCAAATATTAACGTGTTAATTACACAAAACTTGTTCTTTGTGACATTGCATCGTTTGCCTCTGTACCCTTTAAATATATGTGGGCGAATAATAATGTCGAGCTTCTTACATCTTCAAGTAATTTTGTCTGTCCAAAAAAATGCGTATTAAGAGCGCAAAGTGCTCGAGCATTACGCTGGTACCAACATTTTGAGCGCGACGCAAGATATTTTAATCTTCGAATTTCATGTTTTTTTTTCTGATATCAGGTTGACGCTTACGAATATACCATCACGTAATTCTGGATGTAAAGTTGAAAATACTCCGACAAATATTGTTGTGGAGTTCGAGCGCAAATAATTATGGCGCCCTCGAATTGCTTCCACGCACTGCTTCATGTCAAACGTCATGCCCCAGTTAGCACAAGCACGTCATAATGACGTCGAAATTCGGTAAGAACTCGTCAAATGACGTCTATATACTCAATGTCCAATTGTGTATACCCTATTTTACGAGAATCCATCACGGTACAATGATAGCTGGTTATCTGGTAATATTTCAAAATTCCCCATATCGACAAAGACACATGATTCTGACAGATCCGTCAATGCCAGGTGGACAAAGCCGTATTTTGTTTTGTTTTTTGGCACGCTTCAGATTCATTTTGTACTTGCTAAAAGCTCTTTTATTTAGAAAAGTTAATTTGTATAAAAAAAAACGCTACTAAATTTTGTTAGATTTACACCTGATTGCGGACTAACACAAAAATGTCAGCTGTTCACCTCAGTAGACGTTAAAGCGTGATGGATACTTGTGAAACAGGGTATATGTGTAACGTAAGACCTTGTTATGACGTGTTTTTGAGGTTATCTATTCTAATTGTATTTATTTTCATATGTACGATGATTTGTTATTTTAGCATCAATCTTTTCGATTCAAAACGGATCCACGTACTGAGTGTTCCCAAAACTATAGAAAGAAACGGTTTCAGGCTAAATTTGTATCCTATGGTGTTGAATACTACTCATTACATACAATATATAATTTTTTGAGGTAGGAAGATAAAACTTGTTGTTTATTGTCAATAATAGAAGTCATCGTCACGTCCAGTAAGTGACCTAGTATTAACGTCTGTCACATGACGCCATCGTTATGTGGCATTATCTCATTTCACGTTACTTTTATGTCATTCGTCTCGTGATTTCTGGCCATTTCAAGGCCAGTTTGTAACGTCATTTTCACGTGCATGTGCTACGCGCGGCGCTGTATAGGTATTTTCATCAAAAGAAAACTCGATGTTAGAAGTACCGAAATGGGCGTCCACAGGTAGGCGATCATCGGCAAGAGATAACCTTGTGTGAAGGTGTACCTGCCCCAAAATCATGCTAAATATGCAAATGTTTAAGATTCAACCAGGATCTCAGGGGGCCACACTCCCTGGCCTCCCCCAGCGGGCGACCATGAGTTCCGATAGTAGTCGATGTTTGTTTGTAATGATATTTTTTTATTTTATTTAGCAACATACAACAGCCAGCCATAGGCAATTACAGGATGGATAAACATGAAAATATAAACAAATGCATGTTGTAGATGTATGTAGAGAAAGCTAAAACGCTGCAAAAAAAAACCTCAAAACAGAACTGGGAGGAAAAAAAGCGTTCTAGCTTTACCTACCCAGCACTCGACAATCACACCAGCAAGCATTAACGAAAATAAGCATTAATGTCTCCCAAAGTCGCACAAAACGAAAATATATCTAAAACGCTATTAACTGAATTATAATTACGGCACATTATATATATAGGGGAAAACTTAAGTATGTCAGTCCTAGGCCTGACTAAGTAAAAAGTTAAACTAGTTTGTGACGCTAATCTAGGAATTAAGAAGTTAAGTTGTTCTAAGATGACACTGGAGTCAATAATGCCATGGATGAGCTGGTGAATGAACTTAAGTGAATTCATGTTGCGTCTGCTCTCTAAATTATAGATTTTGTGTCTCGCCATCAACTCACTATGAGGAAAGCCAATAGCGGGATATATCCCGTCAGCTTTGTATGAGAGGTATTTTAAAAACTTTCTTTGAACGGACTCTAAGCGGTCAATATATATTTGATGATGAGGATACCATACCAGGGACGCATACTCAAGCTTAGATCTTACATAATCATAGTACAGTATTTTCAGTGTAAAGGAGTTGTGGAAATCACCGGTATTTCTTACAATAAAACCATACGCCTTTGATGCAGCCACAACAGCATTTTCAATGTGATAGGAGAAGGAAAGTTTTCTGTCAAATGTGACTCCCAAGTCATTAATTGTACTAGGTCTGTCAAGTTTCCTGTCACCAATACTATATTCATACATCATTACCCCTGTTTTTATAGTAAACGACAAAACGTGACACTTAGCAGCATTCAAAACAAGTCTGTTTTCACGACACCAGCTGTCAACCCTTACAATGTTGCATTGCAAGCGATGACAATCATCAATGTTAGAGACTCTACAGAAAAGTTTCATATCGTCAGCATATAAGAAAATCGACATCGATAACTTCAGAAATATCATTTATGAACATAATAAATAACAGAGGCCTCAAATTAGATCCTTGAGGAACACCGGACATTACAGGGTATTCGCTTGACTTATGTCCATTGCACATAACATATTGTTTCCTATGACATAAATAAGATCTGAAAAATAGCAACAATGCATCTGAAAGACCAAATCTAGATAACTTATTGAGTAGAATGTTATGGTCTAAACTATCAAACGCTTTAGAGAAATCAGTATATATTACATCCGTTTGAAGTTGTCTATCGATTGATTCACAAACATATTGAGTAAGATGTAGCAAGTTAGTAACTGTAGACCTGCCCTTCATGAAACCGTGTTTACTGACGGAGATAGACCTGCTTACATGAAAATATAGCACAGTTTGTATCACTATTTCGAATGTTTTAGCGAAATTACTGATAATTGTGATAGCCCGATAGTTTTCTACATAATTCCTCTCACCTTTTTTAAAAACAGGAGTTACCCTAGACAACTTCCAAATAGATGGAAAGTGATTTTTTTTCAGAGAGAGATTGAAAATGATCATGAGTGGATATGCTAAAATTGACGCACAATCTCTCACAAAAAATGCAGGTATGTGATCAGACCCTGCAGTCATTTTTGGCTTAATTTTCTGGAGCGCCTGTAGCACATCGATTTCCTGTACGCTAGGCATAGCTAGTGTAGTAGTGAAATGGTAGTCAGTAGAAAAATTAGATTGAGCTGTTGGAGTATTATAGCTCCCACTAAAGTGTTCCGCAAATGCGCCGGCAACATCATTAGGTGTATTCAGTCCCAGGCCATTGTACAGCATATCCTTCGGAATACCAGTGCAGGTTCTTTTTCTATTAACAAAAGACCAGAATTTGCCGGAGCTGTTGGATATTTCACACTCTAAAGAGTGAATGTAGCGACGATATGAAACAGCTACATGTTGCTTTATCTCTGAGCGAAGTCTTATAAATTTTTGATATGGCAAATAATAAATGTTGCAGCAAAATAAATAACTTAAAATGAAATTCACATACAAAATGACTGAATAAGCGTTTATAAATAAATGAAGTTCATGAAATTTATATAAAAAATCTACCCCAGGAAGCCTTACAAAAAACTTGAATGGTACTAAAAAACGTGAATACTTGTGCCTCAAATTTATAGTAGTGCTCACTTGACTGTTTTTCAGAATTATTTTTTTTTTCTTGATTTTGGACTGATTTCGTTGTAGAATTTTTAAGTCATAAGGGAAGGAATCTTCAAAAATAAGGTGAAAAAATTTATATTTTGATTAGTGCGGAAAATTATTCTATTGAATAAGTATAGTGGTTGCTTAAAAAACAAAATTATATGAATGATTATATGTTGCAACGTCGATATCGCATCTTCAACCAGTTCGCATCAAGCAACTCTGAAACTTGCGTAGACCGTTGACTGGACAACGTCGACTGAACTATAACGGGCGGAAGCTCAAATGCTTTGTGAGCTTGTGGCAACACCGCTCCCGGCTAATAAAAAAGCATCTGACAATTTGTCACGGTCATTTTCATACACGTCCTCGCTAGACGTCAAACGCATTTATGGTAATCATCTAGACTTTCACCGGCATCGGTAACTTGTTTATTTGTTCCCTTTTCCCGTCATTTTACGCTGGCCTCCCTTTTGGTGTAGACGTGTTGGAACTGCTGCAATTTCCTATAAAAATGGCCAAAATTCACTGCGGCCCCGTTGTGGACATCCTAGGGGATGAAATGACTAGAATTATCTGGGATTCCATCAAAGAAAAACTGATCCTGCCTTACTTGGACATTGACCTGAAAGTGTACGATTTGGGGATCGAAAACAGGGACAAAACCGAAGATAGGGTCACTGTAGATTGTGCTGAAGCTATTAAAAAATACAACGTCGGCATTAAGTGTGCGACAATCACACCGGATGAGAAACGGGTGGAGGAATTCAAATTAAAACAGGTAAGCTATTACAAATTATTGCAGTCTCATCAAGAACAACGGTAAATTATTCATGCAAGGTTATCAGTCTTGTTTACCTTTTATTGGTCAGTGGCGTACCACTATTATTTTTAAAAGGTAGTAGGGTAAGACTATACTTTAGCGCATATTGCAAATACTTCATTTCTTACTTTAAAATGAAAGATTAGGATGTAACTTTTACGAAAATATCATTTTTTCTTTAAGGAACCCTCTGCTTGCTTTTTTATAGAGCTTTGAAGTTGCATTTTGTTGATACTCTAGAATAAAATACTGTTTTATATGCTGCCTTTTTTTACTTTATGTACAAAAGGATGCTCTAAATTATAAGAATATAACATACAGTGTATAGTACTAAGGAAAATAGATGTGAAACTGTAAAAAAGCGTTGTTTTTTGCAAAAAAAGGTTCAACACCAGACCTGTTAAGTATTACACATTAGCTGATTAGCTTAAATAACAGATCAAAATACATACGTAAAAGATGGTATTTACTTGGTAAACTGTGTAGAGGTGTTTTGTGATTTTTCAATGTCTTCTTGAAATTCCTTAACAATTTTTTTCGCGTATTTTCAATGAGATCAAAGTTTTTGCGTTTATAAGAAATATTTGAAAGTACAATGGCCATTTTATAAGGCTCATTCCTTGACAGATAAGATAAATGATGTCCATTGTTGCCAAGTTGTACCTTTTTTGGGAGAAATACGTAATTAGAAATGAGGTTATCTGAAAATAAAAGTCTGAATTTATTGTAAATGGCTTGTTTTATGAAAAGTTGTCCCAATATTTACCGAAAACTCGATGAAATTTTAAACAGTATGTGTCTAAACAGTGGAAAATACACCAGCAGCTCGCGCGACATTAAAAATACAAAAGGCACCAGCGGTCATTGCTTATAAAAATACCCAACGTCGATTTGGACCACCTCGCCAGGTCCACCCAACATTTCATCGTCCAACATTATAGTTAAATCAACGATCAATTCATCAAAAAACTTGCAAATGTTCTTTGTTATGTTTTCATTATTTAGTGATTTACAACAGCTACTTTTTCAGTTATTTCTCATATTATATATATCACATTTAATTAGGTACATTTTGTAACATCAGCTTCACATTAAATAACACTGGACAACAAATTTTAGTTTTTTAATTGTATCTTGTGGGAAAAGTGCACTTCGTTGTTAATTTTGGGGCACTGAATCCAAAAATGACAATGAAATAAAAAAATTAGTTGCGGTTTAGAAAAAAAACTTTTTATTTTTGAGGATATATTAAAAAAAGTAACAAGATTCATATACTTATAAGAATCACTATATGCGCTGTCTTTTTGCTGTTCTTTTATGGATCGTTTCTGGAGCATCTCTACCAAGAGTCCAACAGTAGTCTGCAAGCATGGAAGGATTCCACTTTCCCTGGTACCTTTTTTCCATTGTTGAAATATCCTGATGAAAATGTTCGCCGTGCTCATCACTTACGGCTCCGCAATTGTCACGAAAAAAGTCCAGGTGTGAGTGTAGGAAATGTATCTTAAGAGACATATTACAGCCCATCTTTTGATACGATGACAGCATATTTTTGACAAGGGTTTTATAGTTGTCAGCTTTTCTATTTCCCAAGAAATTAGTGACCACCAGACGGAAATTATTCCAAGCAGTTTTTTCAATACCTGTTAAAGTGTTTTCAAACTGTGTATCTTTCAAAATATTTCGAATCTGTGGCCCAACAAAAATACCTTCTTTAACCTTTGCCTCACTTAGTCTTGGAAATTTCTGACGCAGGTATTGAAAAGCTGACCCATCTCTATCTAATGCCTTGACAAAGTTTTTCATTAGGCCCAACTTGATATGCAGTGGTGGTAATAAAATCTTTTTCGAATCTACTAATGGCATATGCTGTACATTTTTTTGACCTGACTCTAGGAATTGACGAACAGGCCAGTTTTGTCTGGTGTAATGAAGTGCCTTTGCCCGACTGTCCCATTCACACAAAAAACAGCAAAACTTTGTGTAGCCTAGCTGCAGCCCAAGTAAAAGTACAACAACTTTCAAATCGCCACAAATATGCCATTGGTGCTCATCGTATTTTATGCATGTCAATAGGTACTTCATATTGTCATATGATTCTTTCATGTGAACTGCATACCCTACAGGAAGAGATGGTAAAATATTTCCAATATGCAATAACACTGCTTTTAAACTCAATGTTGTACTGTCTATAAACCATTCTTCTGGGTTATAGTTTATATTTAAAGCCGCCAGTAAGCCGTTAATGTTACTGCAGAAAACCAATTTATTCTCCATATTGAAAAATGGAAAAAGTCTTTGTGGCGTTTACGAAAAACACATACCGAAACATCGTCTTCTAACAAGTTCCACTGCTGCAGCCTTGATCCAAGTAACTCTGCCTTACATTTTGGAAGTTCTAAATCTCTTACAAGATCATTTAATTCTGACTGTGTTGTTTTGTGCGGTTGGTGGCATGACGTGCTCGGTATAAAATCAGGATCTCTTGACGTTGATGGCATATCTTCTTCCTGACGAATCACTCAATCGCCATGATCTGATTCGTTTTCTGATTCGCAAGTGTAGGATTCTGGGGGTTTTGGAATAGGATTTTCGTCACTGTGAGGCACAGGTCTCATCGCAGATGGTATGTTTGGGTTGTGGCTTGTCCAACACAAGGTACCATGCAAAAGTAACAATCATTAATATGATTTGTAGGCTCTCTCCAAACCATTGGGACAGCAAAGCGCATGGACCGTTTTTTGCCATTTAACCAGCTCCTCAGACTTGAAGCACATGTATTACAGCAGATGTGGGATGCACACTGTTTGTCTTGATCACCTAGTTTACAACCGAAATAAAGCTGATATGCCTTTGTTATTAGTAGAGTAATAGACCGTCTCTGAGACGCAAAAGTCACATCACCACACACGTAACAAAACTGATCTGGATTGTTTACACACTTTCGAGACATCTTGCATGAACGCTGTCAGCCAACTGAGGAAAAAATGGCTAATATAAAACAATATAATGTACACGTATGTATAACGTAACACAATCATGCCGATTACATCATCTTTCCTTGCCGAATATAAAAATGTAGCACGTGCATTCTTGTGAATTACAGTATATTAACAGTGTCACAGCAGGAACACATATAATTACCGTATCTCTAAAACTTGAACTAATATTGAAAAAATAAGTTTCATTCCGGTTTTAGAACATTAAAAATAGTAATATTTTGTTGATTTTATTTAGGATATTTTTTGGCTGTTGATCAGTGTAATTAGTCAGGTACATATATACAAAAAGTAAATAGATTATAACTATAATATAGGAAAAACAATAAAGTATTTTTGTGAAGGGCATAAGGCATTCTTCAAAAAAGTCTCTTTAGCTAACGCTATCGTAGGGCACAAGGTGGATTTAGTACAGTAAAACTTGCCGGCCACACTTCTAAATCGCATTTTCATGATCCGGTGCCGATTGCACATTTTTGCACTAGTATATAAGTAAGAATTTGACAAACCAAATGAAGGTATATTACTATCCATGATTTGGCAACATCGCAACTAGATGGAGAGAATATGACAGTGACGGTCGTGTAGTGATAGGAATAATTATCTGAAATAAAAAATAACTACTTAACAATGAACTATTTTCATCATTAAAATAATGCAAAATTGCATTATTGAGATGAACAGTATCACAGTAACTTACAGTGTATGTTATATATATATATATATATATATATATAGGGTGACTTTGAAGTTGAGTCATTAATTTTCAGATAATGATTGTAGAAGGAAGATAAACCAAAATGTGTGTAAAAATAAAAAAAAAAATTTACCTTGTTTTATAAAGTATCCTCCCGACAAGTAATTCAGCGCGGACCTGTATTTGATCGTGAGGTCCCCTGTGAGGTCTTAAGTCACCTGATTCACGAGCCCGTTGTACTACATTAACAAAGGCACGAGGGTTGGTTGCACTCGATTGGGAAACCGATCCGCATAAACATGTGCCATTTTTTATTTCGTTTGAGCCACGCAACAGACACTATTCACACGCGTTACCGACTGACACTGACTGTATGTATAACTGAACTGAATAAAATAATTGTAAAAACATCGTTTCAAATTCTTTCGCTTTTTTGTTTCCGATGCGATGAACCGATAAGGCGGATTATATCCGTTGTTTCCAAACACGAGCACATGATATTATTATTGAGACAGGGCGGTACTCAAACTTCCAAAGGGCTATAATTTTGTTACTTTAATTTTACCAGAAAAATGGTAAAGGAAAAAACATTTCTTTTGATCAGATCTACTCACTGTTAAAATAAATGACTCAACTTCGAAGTATATATATAATTTCGAACAAACTTTTGTATAAACAAGAAGAAAACAGTATATAAAGCAGAATTTTATACCAAAGTATTAGCACCCAAAATGCACCTTTGAAGTTCTATATTATAGCAAGCAGAGGATTCGTTAAAGAAAAAATGATATTTTCGTGCAAGTTACATCCTAATCTTTCATTTTAAAATGAGAAATGAAATATTTGCGATATGCGCTAAAGTATAGTTCAGCCGGAAGTAGTGTGAAATCAGCCTAGGCGTCCATATTATATCCCATAATACTGTGGTCAATGGTGGTTGCACCCCAGGGTTTTGTGTTTAAAAGCCTAAATTTTGAAAATAGCTTCGCTGTTTATCTTCATTTTTTTAACTAATTTCCACTCATCACCATACTAGCACAGATCAATATTTTTGTTGTACGTAGTGTCCCATAGAAACCTCAGCTACTTTAGAAAACATCCACCTACAAGGCTTTATAGCCATAATCTGCCTGAAGTAAAGATTGTCAATATGTCCTGACTGATTCGGGCAAACTAGGTATGTACATTCATGAAGTCAGTGAACTATGAGTGACCTTGAGTATTGTTCAGCTAACAGCTCAATTTATACAATATTGTTGGAGGTAGTTGTATTCACAAAGAGATGAATAATATACATGTATTAAATTATCTTTAAATACTTCACTTGATTATAGTCTCGAACAATAATAGTCTGCAATTGGCAACTTTTCCTCCTATATAAGGAAATAATTGCAAGTTGAGCAGTTAGTGTTGCTGCTACTGTGCATTTGTTTTTTTTAATTTAAATTAAATTTGTCCTGTTTGCATCAGGAATTTCTTCTTTCCAAAATTATTGAAGACAATTCAAATGTCAAAAGGACTGTATCTACATTATGAACGTATCTTTTTACTTTTTATGTTAAAACTCTTAACAAAGAATAAATACCTTCATTCAGGTTGGACAAGCAAATATTCCAAAACTGCACTGCAACATGACAGGGATAGCGATCTGATCTCCAAAATAAGGAATAGGTTTTTCTTTGTAATTTCTATCGATTATGCAAACACAATTTTCATTCATGGATATCTATGTTCATTTTTAACTGAATATTTAAAAATGTAATGCCAATGACGTTGATTTAAACGACACTTTGGAAAGTATTTATAGGTTATGTTTATTACTATGAGTTACATTTGAAAAGTTGAAGTATCTAACTGACAGGTTGACATTCAATGACAGTGAGAACAAACGTCCACAATCTCAAATCAGTCTGACCAACTGACCAATCAACAAAGGATTACTGGTCACAAGTCGCAAATGGTAACGTCACACCAATAGCGATGCGTTTTGACAATTTAAGTTTACCACATACTTTTTCCTTTTTCTATGAACCAATACTTGTCAGATTATAGCGGTCAAATATAAAATAAAGTAGAAGATTCTATGGTAATATATACGAGTAGACTAAATAAAACGATCACATGCATATTCCCTGTTGGTCTCTTTGGAACTAACTATGAGATGGCACTAGCGAACGCCATTCATAACTTCTATGGCCTAGGGTGTAAGCTCTATTATACAGGGTGACTTTGAAGTTGAGTCATTAATTTTCAGATAATGATTGTAGAAGGAAGTAAAACCAAAATATGTGTGTGAAAATAAAAAAAATGTTACCTTGTTTTATAAAGTATCCAGTGCGGACCTGTATTTGTTCATGCGGTCTTGGAGCACCGGCATGCCCTCCCCTATGAGGTCTTAAGTCACCTGATTCACGAGCCCTTTGTACTACATTAACAAAGGCACGAGGGGTTGGTTGCACTCGATTGGGAAACCGATCCGCATAAATCCGTGATGCCGCATAAATAAGAATCATGTCCACAAGTTCAGCATTTTCGTAAACATGTGCCATTTTTGATTTCGTTTGAGCCACGCAACAGACACCACTATTCACTCACGCGTTACCGACTGACACTGACTGTATACAACTGAATAAAATAATTGTAAAAACATCGTTCCAAATTCTTTCGCTTTTTTGTTTCCGATGCGATGAACCGATAAGGCGGATTATATCCGTTGTTGCCAAACACGAGCACATAATATTATTATTGAGACAGGGCGGTACTCAAACTTCCAAAGGGCTATAACTTTGTTACTTTAATTTTACCAGAAAAATGTTAAAGGAAAAAAACATTTCTTTTGATCAGATCTACTCACTGTTAAAATAAATGACTCAACTTCGAAGTCACCCTGTATAGGTCGTTGTGCCATTTCTCCAGAGGTGGCGTTCGCAGCGAGTACGGGTGGCGCGGATTAGCGACTAGCTAGTGCACAAGTGACACGTATGGCGATCAGATCGCTACCATAGCGACTATTTTTCAAAATACGGGTGTCTTTCTGATTCCGCGTGCAGATAATGTATGAATCCAAGAGTTTCGCCACGTAAGAGCTTCTACAAATTATAAGATGTCAACACGTCAAGCACTTACACTTGTATGGAAAACGTCCATGTGTGACGTGCTAAGCGTTTTGATACTTGATCTACCTTCTATACGTTGGTCCATGGAATTCCGAATCTAACGCGAGACCCAGTAGGGTACATTTTTCGTTAGAGAATATTGAATATTTTCGATTACGCATCAAACTTCCTATCCAGTGATCTTTTAGCAACAATTTCTATTGCTAACATAGATGTGGAAATCCCCTAACGGCACAATCCGTAACATCCTGGGCGGCACCGTGTTTCGCGAAGCCATCATCTGTCAGAACATCCCTCGTCTGGTGACAGGCTGGACGAAGCCAATCATCATCGGCCGTCACGCCCACGCCGACCAATACAAAGCGACGGATTTCGTCGTGCCAGGGGCGGGCAAATTGGAAATGGTGTACACGCCTCAGGGAGGCGGGGAGGCGCAGAGGTACACGGTGCATGAGTATAAGGGCGCTGGAGTAGCTATGGGTAAGTACTAAATAGTACTAGTAAAAAGTACAACGCGCATGCCTTTTAATGCACAATGACCATTATGAGAATGGGATTTGAATATTTCACAATGATTGTGACAAATTTTCTGTAGAGGTGGTGTGAAGGCGATTATTTTTTGGAAATGGAGTGCTCTTCAATTTAAATGAAATAAAAATGTCAATTCTGAATTCTATTCTATTTCGGGCTGCAGCTTGACATACGAGATGTCTCTAGATTTGTCTTGACAGAGTTAGGGACACTGGGTGTACTAAAGTATTGTTAAATCAAAATAGCGAATTTGGACTATGAAGTTTCTAGCTGAAGATGCTTGACAGATTTTGACATATGAGGTGTCTCTAGTTTTGTCAGGTCAGTTCTAGTGACACTGGGCACACTAAAATTATGCGCCAGAAAAACTGGGTATAATTAATAATAAATAAAATTTAATAAAATAAAAACAGCTGATTTTAAACGCAAACTTCAACTTTTCTATTCCACGCGCTGCAGCCCAGACAGCCTGATGGATTTTGATAGCATATGCATATACTCCTTTTGCCCCATCCCTGACGGACGCACATGCCTAAAAATGCACTATTTCTGAAAAATACATCAGTGTTATCAAGTTTATAATTCAAAGATCTTTGCGATGTCGGTAGCTATAATTTCTAAGTTTATTGATCATGCTATTTAAAAGCACCATGAAAATAGAAACTGACTATTAATGATATCACATTTTTCTTATCATACAATTTTTTACTGTTCGCATCAACCAAAGGCCGTGACGTATTCAAATGGAGTGCAAGGTTATTTAACTCGTATTCTTTAATGGGAAAATATTCTATGTATTTATAATTGAGATTCATTTTTCATATTCACACAGTATCTGAGATTCATGCATATTTTTACTTTAATCCCGAGGTTATGATGTCGAAATTTACTTCTGATAATATCCATTCTATAATTATAATGATGGCAATTGATGTGCTGTTCGAGATATATGTATATTATTGATACAATTATACATTGCATAACAGGTTTTATGTTGCAATTGTCAGTATTCCTAATTATAACCTGAAAAAAAAATATTCAAAGATTGGTCGTAAAATCTGCCCCTGTGCAGAACTAACTATTTTGGTTTCAACAGGCTTTACATGGTATTTCAAAAATGTTCATTGGCTTGTAAGCATGTAATTTAAAACACTGAAAGTCAAGTATTATGTTTTCTTTACATGATACATATACATCTTTGTTTACCTCCCCAGTAAATTGTACTCAGTAGAATAACCGATATTATTATTAAAACGCGATCTCAAAACTTCTATAAATATGTTGAAAACATTTTTCTACTTCATGATTGTGGCTTCTAAATATCTTTTACATTTCTTTTATTATTTAAATTAACATTCCGTAGAGATACAGTGTCATGTAATCTACAATTTAAAACAAAAAAAAAAAACAATAAATATTATACATTTAAGCCCGGTTAATACATATTTATAAAATTCTATTTTTCAGGAATGTTCAATACTGACGAGTCGATAATAGCGTTCGCACATTCATCTTTCAAATACGCCTTGGACAGAGCTTACCCGTTGTACCTCAGCACAAAGAACACTATTTTGAAGAAATATGATGGACGGTTCAAAGACATCTTCCAGGTAAAATAAACTACTTTTTCAGTAAATCTGCTGGGATGAATTCAAGATAATTTAGCGTTTTCAATGTCTTATATTGTCTGTAAGATTGAAGAAGAGACTGCAAATTTGTTTTTGTTTTAGGATATTTACGACAGAGAATACAAGCCTCAGTTCGAAGCTAAAGGCATATGGTACGAGCACAGACTGATTGACGATATGGTAGCTTATGCTATGAAGAGCGAAGGTGGATTCGTATGGGCATGTAAAAACTATGACGGAGACGTACAGTCCGACTCTGTAGCGCAAGGGTAACTTCTCCTTTATTATCATTGGTACTTATTTTGTCCTTAGTAAGGTATTAAAAAACAATTCAGTAATCTTTTAGAAACCGGTTAAAACGTCGACCCAGAAATAGCATCCTGACTCAACTAAATTCAATATTAAAATTATAACCACGCACAAAGATATTTTCCCTTTCAGGCAGATCAATTTATTCGCCATTTATAATTAATCTGAATAAATATTATTATTATTGTAATAAAGAAAAGGCAAGTAAAATGGGCAACCTGGGCTCCGACACACCAAGTTGCTGTTCCATTAACTAGCCACTTTTCACACCGTCAACTAAGCAACTAGTTAATCTCGAACAGCTTCGAAATTAGGATATCGTGTCACTGCTCATTTCCGTCGATGCTGCAATGGGCAACAAAAACAAATTCCAACTGGTCTACGGTGATACTGACACACTGAGAGAGAGAAACACGGACTTGTGTGATGCAGATATCTTTAAGCAACAGAAAACTTGAGAACCGAAGTGCGATTATCGCGAGTTTAATACTTCCATCGTTTAGGTTTTGAAAAGCTGCTGGTCTCAGTGATATTTTCCACCCATTGTTAGACATAAGTCTCTACATCTGCCATAGAATCAGAAATATGATACTGTTGCTATATATAGTTTGATATACAGAGGTCGAAGATTCATCGCATCTAAGTGAACCAACCTATCAAGGTGTTGAAACGATTTGACTCATCCATTTTCTTTCAACGAAGGCGCAGGAAGTATAGAGTCAATCTAATTGATTCCATTTTTTTTGTAGATATGGATCTCTAGGTCTGATGACCTCAGTGCTAATTTCTCCAGACGGCAAGACAGTAGAAGCGGAAGCAGCTCACGGCACCGTAACCAGACATTACAGGATGTACCAACAGGGCAAAGAAACGTCTACCAATCCGATTGCGTCTATTTTCGCGTGGACCAGAGGCCTGATGCACAGAGCCAAGTTGGATAATAATGCGCAGCTGGATAAGTTTGCTCATACACTGGAGAAGGTCAGTAAGACTTCTGGACATACAGAAAAATAAAAATTGAGTGACTTTTATTTATATTTTTGCAGTAATTTTAGCACCACTAGAGTAGTGTTTATAAACCAGTTTCTTACCTTCCTTACAGGGGCGCTAAGGATTAGCTGACAGAGATGGAGATGAACGACGTAATGATAAAAAACAATTTTTCTAATAGACTTATGAGAAGGACATTCGGTGTTTGTTTGCTATAGATGTAACATTAGATTTCGTTTTTAAATTCGATGCTATTCAGTGTCGCCGAACCGAAAAAGATAAAATCGGTAGACAGTGTTGTTGAAATTGGGGAGATTTAAAAATAAAATCGGTAGGAGGAAAAAATCGGGGCCGTCATAAGATCAGCGATGGATCAAGGGATTTTGCGTCACGCAACGCCCTCTATGATAAAAGTATACTTTGCATTGCGCACGCATTTTCAACACAAGGTTTTTTGAGGGCATCTGTTCCTGAAAAAATATGAAGTTCTTTATACAAGTTGTACATTCATACTGGTTGCTCTTCAAACTCCTTTGCAACCATAACTCAAAGTCCCTTTGCTCCTCTTATTTATAAGATTTTGAATATTTTTCTGTTTCACCACAGCACTTGGAGTCTGATCACCAGTTATTTTAATGTTAATATTCATATTATATTCATAAAAAAGTATTCTTTAAAACTATCTTTCCTACAGATGGGAAGGTAAACGTCGTATACAGAATTTTTTTCGAATATTCACGAATTATCATTTGAAGATCTTTATTCAGAAGGAAACACATTTTTGAAATCGTATTTCTTTCAGGTGTGCGTGGACACTATCCAGTCCGGTTTCATGACCAAAGATCTGGCGATCTGCATAAAGGGTATGAGCAAAGTCCAAAGATCAGATTACCTGGAGACGTTCGAGTTTATGGACAAACTAGCCGAGAATTTGAAGAAGAAAATGGCCGAAGTATGAAGATGAAATTACGATGCAAGGGCGGATCTTGAAGGTTTTTATGGTTGAGGGTTTATAAATGTGTATATGATAATATTAGGCACACAGTACTGGAAAAACTATAAAATAATTTCAAGTGTATGTTGCCAAAAGTCTTCACTGACCAATCAGTTTTTCTACAGGAATCGTACATTTATGACCAAGGGATCATTTTTTAGACGATTGAAAAATCATAGCATACTTTTTATGCCAAATGATGCAATTAATTATTACGACATAACTAAAAGTTTTGACATTAAAATTGACATATTGTTTACAGATTTCTGTTCTATTTGCTATGTTTTCTACAGGTCCGCCCTTGGTTTTTATAAGTTTTTTGTTGCTTTTAATGTGTTTCTGTTTTGTTAGGTGTGTAAGTGCAAGATGTGAAACAGACGTATTTCATGATGAGTATTTCTTAATAAACATGTATGAAAGTCTAAATTGTCTACCTACCTTTTGGTGGAGCGTACTGAATATTGTTGATGCATTTTATTAAAATTTTATCATTTCAATTAAGTGTTTTTATTACATTCCTCCTCAGCGATGGGCGTATACTTCAAGTTGTCTACACTGCGATGTAAGCAGGCAATATATTATGCGGGTCCCACACGATGTTTCCAACGTTGTATTCAACTTTCGACACCCCACAATTTGCAAGTTTGTCTCCTACAGGATGGGATGAACTTTTGTCTCGAACGCTCATGGTGGCGCCAACGTTATTATCGGTGACAGTGTCGCGCTTGAACCTTTACAATTGAAGGAAAAATTATACAAAATGAACGATGAAACAATTTTTTCGAGCGCCGAAAAATAATTTCAGATATGTCCTCAGCGACCAAAACTAAAGTCTGTCAGAAGCCTCAGAAGTGTCGAAAAACGAAGTTTGACCTTTTTTTGTTTGTTTTTCGACGATAACTCCGCCACCACTGTACCGATTTTCAAAAACTGCAAAGCTTTTTGTCATTTTCATAGTAGTAACCTAGGGTCAAAATTAATTCAAAATCCGAATAGTACTTTCAGAGTTATTATTTATTTAATCGTTTTCGTAAGTTATGAAATGCAAGTCAATATATTTCTCAACTAGTCTTGTATTGGAAGAGGACATTATAATGAAACAACTGTAAGCACTTGATAATTTACTAAAATACATATCCTTAAACCAGCCATAACTCACCTGCGAAACATAATAAAATATTAGAAATATGAAAAAAGTGTTGTTATGGCAGCCTATGCTTTGTATGTATAGTATTTAATTCATTCGCCACAAAAGTTAGTTACGGAACATACATTAGCATGAATAGGTAGGTATTCAAATCAAAATACTTCACCACAATCATAGCAGACAAATAAATAATGTTTTTCACCGCTACTGGTTCTAACCTAAAATCATCAATCACATGACATCTCATCTGGGAGCGTAACGAACCATGCTTCCAACGTTGTAACGTCCTTTGACAGGGGTCAAATTTACCACAAGAGCCCGAACCTGCCATGTGGTGAATGCTGGCCACATGTAATCCATCAGCGGTCTCACACACGATGTGGCGAATGGTCATCTGTCCAATTTTGTAAGGCATTCGCCACATCGTGTGGGACCGGTTTTAGCAATATGCTTTATAGTTCATTTTGGTGAACAAGTTCAAAGATGACACTTCATCTTGAACTGATAAACGGGGGTGGTAAAGTGCCTCATTGTGGGCATTACAAATCGAATAAATATGATTGCTTGGTGGTTTTTCTAGCTCTTTCTCTTAGGACATGGGTGCCAAGAAATTTTTTGAGGCCCCGGCCTTTGGGTCGTGGTCGGGGGTAGTATGTTTGTGCCTTTACGCTGGCCAATTTTTTCTGATTATTTCACTCACTACCATTCAATAATCTCAAACCGCGAAAAAATGTGATATTTTTCCTACGTCTGTGTTTATAATCAAATCCAAGCGGATAACGAAAATTTCCGTATTATGTACCGCGGTTATAATATGGTTCAAGATGACACACGGGATGGTGAGGTCAGTTACTCGAATCGCTTGAACGCGTTGGTTTTAAACGCGGTTTGTTGCAAGATGTTTATTTTAGAAAAGCGCGTATATAATTTCTGATTATTTTTATTATCACTCAATAATCGGTGCTTTTTCGTCTACAACGGGGTATGCAAAGTTGAAAAAAAGAAAACTTTCATACCTAATATTAATGGAAGAAATTTTTTTTCCGAAAAAATTTTTACTGATGGAACCATGGCTTTGTAGCTATGATAACTTTCAATTCTCTAAACTTTTCAGCATGCCAAAGAAAATATTTATTGATTTAGCAGAAATGATGAAAAAGCGATGAAAAAAAGATATTAACAAAACCGTATACAGGTGGACATCATCCAGTGAGTTTATACGGCCATATTTTAATATTCTTGTGGTATATGGCTATACAGGATACTTTTTTAAGTGTAGGAACTAGATTTAAAGTGTCCCCAACAACAGTGATGATTATAAATAATAAGGTGGTCTCTTATGCTAAAACTGAAGTCAGCCTGTATCAAGTTTCCCAAAAATGAAGCTGAAGTACAATAAAAATATCCAATACCCGGCAAAATTCTAACTTGTCACATGTCAAATAATAACCAGAAATATAAAACTACTCGGGAGTTGGGTAAATACCACAATTTTGCGGTGATAACTATGACATATAACAGCTGATTCATGACGTCACAGATCTTATAACCAAACTGATAACCACACTCGCTTGAACGGATCGGTAAATACCAATCCAAAATGGTAAATACCATTTCCATTTGGTTATCCGCTTGAATTTGATTTATGTCAACATAACCACGAATATTTTGGTATCTAACCGACAGTGACATTTGTTACTTGGCATTTTAGGCACTTTCTCGCGAAACCGGTTAGGCGATCTAACTTCATGTTGTAGATGTAGCAAGCCGTGTTGCCAGCGCTAGCGGTTTACCTTGGGATCCAGGATTTGATTGTATTTAAACTGAACATTTTTCCTAGAAAGCAAAGTTGAAACACTTATACAGACAGCACTCTAGGTGAGGTATCATGTCGGCTTTGTAAATAGTGGAAAAGACAGATGGCAGAAAAGTACTGCAATCGCCTTCAAGGATGAGGGGGGAGGGTTATGCACGTCTCACAGTTCACGTCAATAAGTCAATTTTTATACCAAGATCCAGCAATGTGCTAATTTGAAGCGTACATTGGCACTGATTAGTCCGGGGGTAGTATTTGTTTGTGCCTTCGCGCTCGCCCATTTTTTCTGATTATTTCACTCACAACTGTTTAATAATCTCCTAAATCCGCAAAAAATGTGATATTTTTCATGTCTGTATTCACAATCAAATTCAATCAAATAACCAAAATTCCTGTGTTATGTGCCGCGGTTATAATATGGTTCAAGATGACACTTGGGTTGATGACGTCAGTTACACGAAACGCTTGAACGCGTTGGTTTTAACCGCGGTTTTGTTGTTTATTTTATAAAAGCGTGTACGTAATCTCTGATTATTTCTATTATCACTTAATAATCGGTGCTTTTTCGTCTATAACGGTGTATGGAAATATTAAATAAGAAACCTTTCATAATATTCATGGGAGAAATGTTTTTTCTTTCAGAAAATAATTTTTAATGATGGAACCATGGAAAAAGATATTAGCAAAACCGTATACAGGTCGACATCATCCAGTGAGTTTATATGGCCATATTTTAATATTCTTGTGGTACAGCTTACACAGGATACTTTGTTAAGTATAGGAACTAGATTTAAAGTGCTCCCAACCACAGTAATGAGTATAACTAATAAGGTGGTCCACTTTATGCTAACACTGAAGTCAGCCTGTATCGTTTCCCAAAAATGAATAATATAATAATAACAATATCCAATACCTGGAAAATTCTAACTTGTCACATTTCAAATAATAACCCGAAATATAAAACTACTCCTGAGTTGGGTAAATACCACAATTTTGTGGTGATGACTATGACATAAACAGTTGATTCATGACGTTACAGATCTTATAACCAAACTGATAACCACACTCGCTTGAACGGATCGGTAAATACCAACCCAAAATGGTAAATTCCATTTTCATTTGGTTATCCGCTTGAATTTGATTTACGTTAACATAACAACGAATATTTTGGTATCTAAATCTAACTGACAGTAACATTTGTTACTTGACATTTTAAGCACTTTCTCGTAAAACCGGTTAGGCAACCTCACTTCGTCACTAACATCATGTTGTAGATGTAGCAAACGGCGTTGCCAGCGTTAGCGGTTTACCTTAGCACCTAGGATTTGATTGTAGTAATTTAAACTGAACATTTTTCCTAGAAAAAAAGCTAAAGCAATCGCCTTTAAGGAATCTATCTAGGAAGTAGGCTGGGGGGTTACGCACGTATCACAGTTCAGGTCAGCAAGTCAATTTATACCAAGATCCAGCAATGTGCTAATTTGAAGCGTTCATTGGTACCGATTTTTTTAAACGTATCTGACCAAAAGTGCAAGAATAATGACGTCATTTTACACAATGTTCACTGGTTTGGTATACACAAATAACAAATATTCATATACTTTCTCTAATTCTTTAAAAATCACCTTTATAGGCATTGCATGTAGAAGAACATGCTAACTGAACTAATTAATATTTTCTATCGTATATGCGTATATAATGTTATGTATGTACAGGTATGTTGTGTATTTTACGTGCGCCCATATATTAGGAGAAGCTTAGTCAAAAATGGCATTTCTTTACAGCCTTTTTGACTTCGTCCTTTTATTGAAAGTTCCACCGAAAGTACCAGCAATATTTCCGATTATTAACTTTATACTGCCTTCTAAACTACCCACTAGACATTAGAGTTCACCTCTACTTGCTGAATAGAAAATCATAATGGTAGTGAATTTAAGTGGCTCGAATAGATGTAAACATATTTTTTATTATACTACTTTTAAATGACATAGAAGAAGTGGAACATCTTGGTGGTCTGACAAACATGTACAGTATATTCACTTATTCAAAGCTATTACGTCACAACGTTAAATGATGGCAGTGACGCACATGGTTGCCACATTACTTAAAACTACTAGATCCTAGGAAATAAACCACAAATAAACAACAGGCGTTGGCGTAACATAATCAACCAACATAAATGAGCCCGGGAAATTCAAAGAATACCTATCAATTTAGGATCTATTTTGCATTGGGGTTGGCATTCAAATTTACTAAATATGACGTAACTGCTTTGTTTCAGTGAAAGGACTAAACTTGTTTTTTTACTTCCTACTGCGATAGAAGATGACAGCTAAAACCTACTAGTAACCCTAGTAACTAATAATGTAGATGAAAAAAGTTTTTATTAGATTCCGGCAGGGGTATTTGTAACTTTAAAACTGACATTATGCCGGTTTTTTTGACATTCTGTGCGCTGCAGGTAATTTACAATTTGACAAGTATCAGGTACATACATTAACATGTGACAGCAAATGAAAAAAATGTAGACAAGACTTTCCTGAGACAGATCACTTACACAAGTACAGTGTCCAAACCGTAAATATTATGTCGATCTTCTACTTATTGCTGTTTTGCTATTTCTTGACGTTGTGCTCAAAGTACTCATTCTCGTTGTGGAATAACTAGTTCTCGTCGAGCTTGATCTGTCACGGAAATGAAACTTTCGCAGTAACTCTCGGATTATCTTCCTTTTGCAAATGAATATGATGAAAATGAACACACCTAAAACAAAAATGTGTACTATACAGACAAAATTAGCTCCACACTACTTTGATAGTTTCTCTTGTATTAAAGGAATAGCTGGATCGGCACGGGTATCACGTATTTTGAAAAGTGACATTATGCCTATTTTTTTTAACATTATGTATGTTTTTATACAAGATTAACATCTTAACACTTAGCACTCAGTTGTACGTGTTGCCTAAACGTCATGAGACTTGTTATCAATCTTTGGGTCTGATGTGATGTAAAATCTGCTTCTGAGATGGCATTACTGGAGGTCTAAGCTGTAAGTTGTATGTGTTGATGATAATTACATTGGGTTCTTGTCTCAAATACACTTAATTGAGATTCAAAGCTAGAAATTAGTTGCGCATCCACTTTTTCTTATCCATTCTGTAAATTACATATACAAATTTGCTGAATTTAAACAATGAGAGAGATAAGAAATAATTATATTCACTGTAATTACACACAACTCGGGCGCGGTGATGATTTCCCGTATTTCTCCTCAGTTTTTCGTAATTTGTAACTTTGAACATAACCTCTCTTCAGAAAGCACAACATATAAATAACCCGTCATATTCGGCATATTCAGTAATGATTTTCTCACACAGCAAATATCACTGCTTTTATACACATGCAGACCAATACACATAATCATCCAGAAGCGATCTTGCTATTCAACCAACTTTCTTCTCAGAGATAAAAACTACAGACACAGATCACTCAGCCATACAAAACTATGCAACCAATAATGCGTGTAGTTTAGTTGAGTGATTCCTCCATAGATGGACGTTCACAACGATCCTAGTGAGCAAACGTGGAATGACTGTTTGCGCCCTAAAAACTACCTAGTCTGCAAGTTGACATCTTATAGGTTTTTTTGACGTTTTACAGGTTTTTTACGTGATACCCGAGCGGTGCTACTCAGCTGCAAACGACAATGTTTTCACGGGGCTCCCAGAACATAAAAAGATAGTTTTTTTATAACAATAATTACAATAAATGAGCTTTATTTCGTACAAAAGCACAATTTAACCTTTGAAACTAAAAAATTATAGTAATTATAGTTAATACTGAACTAAAGAAGTATACCTATATTACTCAATAATAACTAATTAATTAACAACACAACAAAATGTAATGCAGAAAAACAGACAATTAATTTTATAATATTGAATTGGATCAAAACTTCGAGGTACATAATTGTAGGCAAGTTGTTGGGACATCACGTGCTCTCTGAAATACATTTTCCTTTTTTTATTGAATGAGATTGTCATTTGGTGCATATTTTTGTCATTTTATTTCATAAGCCCCCGCCAGAAACTGAAACCTGGCAACGCCCATGACGTAAGCAATTACAAGAATAGTCCATATTTCTAGCATATGATGTTCATCGTTAGACTTCGGCGTGCAGTTTTAGTTTCTCAAATTAAATATTGTGTAATTTTGGAACGGAACAGGCAGATCATTATACAGGTCGTTTTCAAAGATGAGTTATTTATTTTAACAGCTTGTATAACTCGTCAAAAGAAGTTGTTATACCAAAAATCACCTACGTATATATAAAAGTTGCATAATAAGAGAGTTAATTAACGTTATTGCAAATTATTTAAAAAAATCATTATCAAGTTAAATGGATACCGTTTTTACAAAATTTGTGCAAAATTGTCCCCATTCCCTCTTCTGGTGTCCACGGATCAAATCACAAGCATATTCAGTGGCGCTGTTGAAGTTCTTCGAGAGTATTCACCGCTCCATCATGATACACCAACTCTTTCAAATAACCCCACTCAACAAAATCGCTAGGCGTTAAATCCGGGGAGCGAGCAGGCCAAGAATTGAGTCCATTGCGCCCATATATTCAGTAACTCATTATTAAGATGCATGCATGCATGATATTGGCTGAAACCGTTGTTGTGCTACGGATTTCCCTGAATGCTTACTGCATTGGTGGAATTATTTTATTACTGAAAATATACTCGGATATTTGTATCTTTATTTCCCGTTCCAAAAGTCTTGAAAATGCGGGAAGTAAACTGACTGGTTACAGATGTGGGAATCAGTACTTTAGTAATAGGTATGACAATAGTGTGTTTTCACGCTTAAGGAAAACGGTATGATTCTGGAGCGTGATTGATAATAAATGTAATGTGGTTCCAAAAAAATATCTGGAAATAAGACCAGGAACCTGATTTTGCTTTTTTTATTTTTCAAATTGTTGGTTGGGGCTCGTACGAATTTGTTTTGCCCCAAAAGTTTTTACTACCTACTGAACCTAAAAGATGAGTTAGTTACCCTGCAGGCAGTTAATGGAATCCCAGATGATTTCGATATATTTGAGCAGGTCCCCCATTTCGCTCATACGGAAAAATCCAGTCATCGTATCGAATAGAAAAGTTACTCCCATTATTACCGATAACTTCAGTATTAGTGACAAACTGAAAAAAATATTGTATCATTTTCTTTGTGTATGTGTATTTGCAGGCTATTATATCTGTCCACAACATGCGAAAATGTTCTAAAAACCAAATATGCTATCATTTTTGATTCAGTATCAAAATAAGGCTCTTTTAATGATGACAGCTGGGTACTCACTTCTCTTTGTTTCTCTTAAATCTGTCCTTTTTTTCAAACTTCGAGACGTCAATGGTTCTACTTATTTCATTCTTGACTTTTAAACAGTAGTTGATAGTTTTAGCGAACAAGATTACGTTAACAATTTGTATGCATAGATGAGGAAATCGTAGGAATAATATCGCCGCATAATTTCCTGAAAAAAAAAATGTTATTGCAGCTACATGCGAGTTCGTTTAGTTACATGGACGTATTCAAGGAATCTTTGGGCTATTCTCCTAGAACCTCAGAGCTCTATCGCGATTTTTACTTTAAGGTATAATGGTCTGTTCCTTATGATAATAGGAAAATATCTTTTAACAATACCTAGTTTCAAATTCCACCGTCACCATTGAGATATGGGAAACGGGGAGCATTGCTGAGTATTTAGGTAATCAAATAAATGGCACTGACGCATTTAGATAGTTTCGTAATTCAGAGTGCTTCCGGAAATACACCAAAAACTACATTGAAGTTGGCAAACCTTAGTTATTTCAAAAAACTGACATTTTCATAGTTGGCCTTGGAAATGACAGCTTATTATAATGTTTATTCGACTAGATAATGGACGTTTTATAATATCAATGTATATCATGAAATGTGAAATACCTCATTAGCTTGGGGTGGAGCTCTAACCGTTCAGATCGCAAAACTTGGGACAATAGAAAAACAATTTTTCAAAATAATTTATAACGAATATATATAATATAACATATTTTCCTGTCTTTACCCTTTAGTTGATGAAATTATTTGTTTGGGAGATTTTAATTGCAACTTCAAAATCCACTGGTACCCCTATTTGAAAATTATAATCTTAAGCAGATCATTAGTGAACCTACACGCATTTCTGGAACGGTTTGTACTCTGCTTGATGCGATATTTGTCACTAACTTGTCGATAGTGGCTAGGTCTGGGGTTTTATCGGCGAATAATATTTCAGATCATAAATTGATTTACTGCGATATTAATGTTTCAAAGGGAAGTAAAGCATCTAAAATAATAAAACATCGTTCTTTTAAAAATTTTAACCTAAATAATTTTCTAGCAGATTTGCCGTGGAAAAATATATTATATGAGAATAACATTGATAATAAAATTAAATACATAATCTAATTTTTACATTGTTTAGCAAGCATGCACCAATAAAAGAATCACTAATAACAAAACCAAAAGCGCCTTGGTTAACTAACAATATTAAATTATTTATGAAACAAAGAGATGCAGCATTGCAAAAATTTAAAAAATCAAACCTTCAATCAGACTGGGTCGATTATAAACATTCAAGAAATTTTACTTTATCGTTGATAAGAATGAATACATAGAATCCTTTGAATATAACTCCAAAAAACTGTGGTCAGTTTTAAAAAGTTTTAATATCTGTTCTACAAAAAATAATGAAACTCCCCAGTCTTTATCAGAACCTGATAATATTAATAGCTTTTTGCTGCTTTTCTACAAAATAAATCTAACTGTTCGGAAAAAAATAATTTTATAAAAACAATGCCTTCAAAAATAACTTAACCTTTAACTTTAAATTAGCAGAAATAACAAATATAAACAAAATTTTAAACAACATAAAAAGTAATGCAACCGTGTTAGATGATATTTCGCCCTTAATGTTAAAATACTGTAGTCCGTACATAGATAAGTATATAACACCTATTATAAACTGTTCCAATGAAACGAGCTACATTCCCGACATGTGGAAAATCTCCATAGGAAAACCATTACCAAAAATAACTAATCCATCAAGTTTTAACGAACTGTGATAAATATACTACCTACAAATTTATGACTTTTGTATGAATAACAATATTACTCTTGGTACTCAGTGTGGTTTTCGTAAAAATTTTGGTACATCACTGGCTCTAAAAAACGTACTCGATGACATATTAAAAGCAAATGATAAAAAGATGAGTTCAGTTTTGGTACTTTTCAAAAGCTTTTGATACCATTAATCATGAATTGTTGGTAGCTAAACTTCAGTACTATGGCTTTAATAAGGAAGCATGTTTGCTTTTAAAATCATATTTGACAGGAAGGTATCAATCGATTCTATCAAATGACACATTCTGAGACAAACCGGAGATCCTATCGGGAGTCCTCAGGGACCAATATTGCGCCCCTTGTTATTTTTAATTTATACATCTGATATCCTTACGTCTTTAAAGTTTTGTAAAGTTCAGGCCTTCGCGGATGACTCGCAGGTTTATTGTTTTTTTGATATTGAGGATTACAAATATTACGAAAATTGTATAAATGAGGACATTAACACCTTGAACAATCTCTCATTAGGTCACAACTTAAAACTTAATCCGGAAAAATCGCATCCCTAATTCTTTCCAATTCCAATTATTGCGATGTTGTCTATGGGTTTTCCTTAGATCAGGCAAGTAGGGGTCGGATTCAAAAGGTGCAAAATGCGTGCCTCAGGTTTATCTATGGTCTGCGTTGGTTTGATCTCATTTGTATAAACAAATTAAATAGCTTAAAATGAATGAGCGTCGCACTCTCCATTTTTATAGTCTTTTATTAAAAATTATAAACACTCCAGGTTCACCTGATTCTATAAGAGAACGCTTAATTTTCCGACATTCTGTTCATGATATAAATGTAAGATATTTAAAAAAATTAACTATGCCGCTTTACAGTAGTGTATTGTTTCAACGATCATTCTCATACAATGCTGTTAAACAATTTAATTCAATTCCCAACCAGTTCCTTAATCTTTCTCTTTCAAGTTTCAAAATACAATATAAGAAATATTTGCCAAATAGAAATCTGAACCAACTTTTTTAGAATGAGATTGAAGTTTATAATATAGGTATATAAGGAGCAAAAATATGTCAAGCAAATTTTATAGTAACCAGTAACCAAATTTTATAGTGACCACTATTAATTAATATCTTTTTGAAATTTTAATATACTTTCAGTCCATTTAGCGTTAACTCGTGATTATTATTATGATTATTCTGTATTGTTGCTTAAGACTTATTACTATTATTATTTTTGTTGTCTCACTTTTGGTTCAGTAGAGTAGCTAGACTTGCGCCAATATTAGGCAATGTATTCTGTATTTTTTTCTAAATTACCTTTGTAAAAAGATTATTTGTTTTATTCAATAAAGTCATTTATTATTATTATATTATTATTATTAAATACACACTTTGTCCGTTAATTCAATTATATAGATATACAGAAACTCTTGATATTCGGCAGTCTTTTTCGTTCAGTATATTGGTATATCAATTTGAAAGCAAACATACGTTAGTGCTAATACTTATTTAACAAGGAACAAAATTAAGAAACACACATTTAATGTGTAATGTTGAAATTTAAATAAAGTTTGTTACCAATTTCGTTATCGAATATAAATATTTGACTCAACCATTATGTTTTTTATCATTAAAGTTCATTACACTTGTTTCTTTGTCTTTAGTGTCATTAAAAAAAATAGACGCTTTAACAAATCAATAAACTGTGGTCACGAAATACTTTTATATTTCTGTTTTTTCAGATGTAGGTTTTTAGAATTAAAAAAAATGTCAACGCCTTCTATATTTTAATAGCTTTCTTATAGATATTCAATATCATATAAGTAAAAATGTGCTAACAGGGCAATTAGAACTGAAGGTATTCGACTTCAAGATGTGTATATTCTCCCACGCATAAGAATTTGATTTCTGTGTATGTTTACTGCTCCTAAATTGTTATTTTTTTTTAAATATTATTAGTTTAATCAGATATAGGGACCATTTATCTATGCCTGGTTCATAAAAACTGAAGGGATGCTTGGCTCAGGGTTGCCAGGTTTTCATTTACGTTGGTCGCAAGGGTTCTTGTGAGCTTGTGACAACGGAAAAACGGAGACAGTTGGGGGGTTACCGATTATTGAATATTGAAGAGAAGGGGGCAACCATTTTCTGCGTTTTTACCCTTCTCCAGTGATCTTTTGGAGGGGGCGCTCACTCTCCCTCTCTCTCCCGGTTATGGTACAAAAACGGCAATAAACGTACATCTAGCAACACTGACGTCATTGTACTTAGAGTACTGAACTTGGTCCTCGTTTCATGTTTCATTAGTCTATACAGATATCAGCATTAATGGATTACAAATTAATTGGCGTCAGAAATGTCAAACATCGCCAGAAATCACCAATTCGCTGGATACTGGGAGTCATACATTTTTGGAATTAGAATTAAACTATCCTGTGCAAAATCTAATATGGCAGCCACAGTTCAAATCCGAACTTACCTACTTTTTTATATGTCAAGTCGATCCTGCGCTCCTTCTTGGCGATCGTGGGTATTACGAAGAAAAGTCTTGATTCTTTTCGATGTTGAGAAATTTCGCTCAGCCTCTGATTTTTTTTTTTTATATCGAAACAGCCGCGCAGGCAGAAACCTAAATGCCGGAACACCGCGGCTGCTATGATGATCCCAAAGAAATTTTGTTAATACGATTTTTGAACTGCCCAAGGTTAGTAGAACTGGGAAAAGCTTCCTCTCGTAGATTGTTCCACAATCTAGACACCCTCGGGACAAAGGAGCGGTCGTATCGGCCAGTTCTGGATGTACGAAGTTTGACACGGTTAGGATGAGACGCCGAAGTCAGGCGGGTCTGTCTGGCAGGCACATCGCGTGGCGGCATCATGGAAGAGAGCTCTGAGGAGCAAAGCCCGTTGGTGTAGCGATAAAAAAGAGCTAGATCGCCGACGGCCCGCCGGTGCGAAAGAGTCCCGAGACTGTCTGTTAGAGAAGAGTCATCGATCAGTCGGACCGCCCTCCTCTGGACAGCATCGAGCATGGACAATGTAGTCGGGGCGGCAGCACCCCAAATGTGTGAGCAATACTCGAGGCTAGGCCTTATCTGGGCCTTGTGTAGAGTGAGAAGGTCATGCGGAGAAAAGTACTTCTTAGCCCTAAACAAATAGCCTAGCTTTTTCCCAGCAGCTATTGAAGAGATATGTTCGTGCCAGATCAGGTCCTCGGTGATCTGGACTCCGACCAGCCGAAATGAATGGCTCTTTGGTACAACTCGACCGTCCATCGAAACTGTATGAGCGCTAGGACGCTTTTTGTTCGTCAAAGTACAGTACTGGGTTTTGGAAGCATTGAACTGTACAAGATCTGCATCCCCAAGCAGTGATAGCCTCCAGGTCTCTTGTCAGAGAAGAAGTTGTCGCTAGTCTTCTTTTTTCCAGCTCAGCGGCAGATATCGGCTTGTCACTCTGAATTCCTGCATGTAGAGTGCTGTCATCAGCGAAGCTGTGGATTGGGTTGATCGTGCAGGAAAGGAGGTCGTTGATATGTAAGAGAAACAGTGTTGGAGCCAAGACCGATCCCTGGGGAACACCCGCGTTGACGTTGTGGGATGAAGAGGAGAATCCATCAATTACGACGGATATCTTGCGGCCAGAGATAAAGTCAGCCACCCATCTGCATAGCTTTTCTGGGAAGCCGTAGGATGGAAGTTTGCTTAAGAGGGCAGCGTGCCACAGCTGATCGAACGCTTTCGTGATGTCAAGAGCAACGACATGAGCCTCACCATGAGACTGGATGAGTTTACTCCACAGTTGCGTGACGTAAGCTAGGAGGTCCCCTGTGGATCGTTGGTGCCGGAAACCGTACTGCCTGTCGCTAATCAAGCTGTGACGTTCGAGGTAGTCTAGAAGCTCGCGATTTATGCACCTTTCCATCACTTTACTTATAACAGAAAGCAGAGCTATAGGCTTGTAGCTGTAAGGGTCGGTTTTAGATCCTTGAGCAAATTTCCAGTTTTCTGGGAAGGTGCCGGATTCATAAGATATCTGGAAGAGACGCGAAAGAACTGGAGCAAGCTCCGCTGCACATCTCTTCAGTACAATGGCAGGAATCAAGTCCGGACCAGAAGCTTTGTTGATGTCGAGCGACAAGAGCACTCGTCTTACGGTCTTATGCCTGAATGTTACCTCCCGCATAGTGTGGAGAACCCTTTGGATTGACGGCACTTGGGCGTTGGTGGGGACGTCCATGGTGGAGTTGGCAGCAAAGATCTTGGCTAGCACTTCCGCCTTGGCCTTTGAGTCGAATACAATAGTTCCATCCTGACACGTAAGTGGTGGAAGGCTACTGTGTGAGAAGTTCTTTTCAATCTGCTTGGCCAGCGTCCAGAAAGACCGTCTGCCATTGCGCTGCGACATTACCCTGTGCCTAACTTTTATGTCATGCTGGTTTTTGGCATTGCGAACCGCTTCGTTATATTTGTTTCTGGACTCAACGTCGGCTTGTCTGTTCTCTACAGTGGGGTTTTGCAAGTAGGTTCTGTGGGCCTTGATCTTCTGCTGGCGAGCAGTGTCACACGATTTGTTAAACCAGCCGTTGGGCCCTGGTTTAGGAACTTTCACTGTGTGAGGGATGTATTCCTCCATTCCGACGTGGATAATTTCGGTTATTGAAGAACAGACAGTCGACGCATCCGCGTCAGTGAAACAGACATCTCTCCAAGGAAAGCTAGAGAAGAAGTCTCTGAGCCCCTCCCAGTCGGCATGTCCGTAATGCCAAGTTTTGCGGCCTGTGCGAGTTTCTGCTGCCACAGCGGCTTCTGACCGAAACCTAACCTCCACAACACCGTGATCTGAGTTACCCAGGGGAGACAGGACAGCAGTGCTGTAAGGGGCAGGATGCGTGGTCAAAAAGAGATCCAGCAGGCTACTGGCGTGTGACGAGACGCGGGGAAAAAAGTAGGGCTCGTCACCAGCTGGGTCAGCCCTTGAGTAAGAGCGAACGCTTCGACTGCACGACCTGCTGCATCGGTCTTATTTGAGCCCAACCAAAGCTCATTATGGGCATTGAAATCACCGAGAAGAACCACCTCTGAAGCGGGGTGATTGATGTTCAGGAAGTCGATCTGGACGGCGAGGTATTCGAGTAGGTCATCCCAGTTATGGTTCGAGGGAGAGCGATAAAGGCAGCAAATAAATTTGGGTGATGTTTTGGAGTTGAGGCGAAGCCACAGAATATGCTTCTGGTCTGATTCCAAAGAAGGATCCCTGGAGCAGGAAAGACTGCTGCGGACAAAAGCCACAACTCCCCCGTTCTTTCTCAGATTGGAGTGCACCTCGTAGTTTGGGAAGTTGAGATGGTTAATCGGTGCAGTCTCTGAGATTTTTGTCTCCGCCAAGAAAAGCACGGCGGGACGATTGGATTGCAGGTAGTGATGAACAGCGTCAATGTTGCTGTTGATTCCGCAGATGTTCGAAAAACAAATTTTATCTTCGATGTTGTTCCCTCGAGCCCACCCTCCACCCGGATATTCCGAGAGTGGAGTGAGTTTACGTCCGGATGTTGACATAGTAGTTGTAACAATAATTTCTAATAGCTTTCTTGTTTCTTTTAATGCTTCCTCCAAACTATTTTGTACCAAAAATTTCAAAAGAGACATAGTTTGATGTAAATCTCGGCAATCATTCCGTGCATAAATAACAGACAACTCTGTCTTTAAACGACTTTTTTTTAATTCGGGTTAAACCAAGCAGGTTGTTTCTAACCTGTCATCAGGAAACTTACCACAGTATTCTCCAAAGTGTTCGGAGAAAAAAGGGATGCGGCTACCAAATGATCCTTGAATGGAAATCTGTCATTTGCAAAATTCACTATAATGTCGCATACTTCTAATGCGGAAACTCGGTGATCGTGACTGCTATTATTACGTCGACTCTTTTTGTTGCCTTGGGGTTCAGTGCAAATACTTTTGGCTTCATTTATTATGTCATCAATTTTGTTTCTCACATCGACAATACATTTTTCAAAATTATCGATAGCCGTTTTAACTTGCGCTGGCTCGGTTACAATCCAATAAATCGTTTTGTATTTCTTTCGAAGTTCCTTTAAATATTGAAGCATTTTTTATGTGTTCGCTTAAGGTTGTATCAAGCTCAGCAGAAAAATTAATCAGTCCACGAAATATTACCGGGTTCTGGGAGCTCTCGGTTTCGTCGTGGTCCCGTAGCGCCAATTCAAATGCTCCGCAAAATTTTATACCGAGCACCGACCGACCAATCAGATATCGTACTTCGCATTAGATCTGTACGGATCTGAATAACGTGCAGCACATGCTTATGCTTAAATCGCGCATTTGATTTTGTAGAGAGAGACAAAAGCAGGCGCGTGCGGCTTGTGTCGAAGTAGTGCACAGACCCTTTTCAAGTGGCCCATGAATAATGTTACGCTGCGGTCGCGACGAAAATGACAAGTACACAATTGGTCGATTATAATTCTCAATACAAAACAGACTCGACGCCGTGTCTTGCGGGGGATAGCGTTGCCGGTATTGTTTCTATTTGTGTGATAACATGGAAAATAAATAATGATCAAATTACTACTGCTTTTTTCTGTTACGTCAAGCGTTTTGGCAGTTCTGCAGCTCTGCAGAACTTAACGGCCAGCCGCCACTAGGCAGCCATAACAAAACAAAGTAGCTGACTGAGGGCAAGAGACGAAACGCCATTTTGAAACTCTAGTAATTACGCCATCTTGTAGATGAGAACAAGTGGCAATTTTAATGTGTAATTTATTTTGAAATCTCAAGTCAAATAAAGACAGAAAAAATTATAACACTTTTGAAAAAACGAATTGTGAAACCGTTTAAGTTAAATTTTCTTATGACTCTTTTATATGATCTCACCGTTTTCGAAATTCTAATTGTGAGAGTCAAATTTGGAACACCATCTGGAATATTATCAGCCGATCGACAGAGTCCTGTTAGGACATCCATTTTGCTAATAGCTCTTTGTGAAACAATTTCTTGAACATTCATTTCAGATACTCACGATTTTCAATAAAGCACATTCTGTATCCAATATAGGGATGAACAGCCTCAGGTAGTATTCGAGATACACTAAACGCGTATATGATTAATGTGTGAAATGCTGGGAGATTCCAACCACAAAGCATGTAAGTTATCAGTCTTCTGCAGTCTCGCCGTTTCTGATGTACACCCACTGCTTGTCGAGTATACCTTAAAACATATTGAGAATGAAACATTTCAGCAAACAATAATATCCAGAATCTTTATGATATTGTAAATATACTACTTATTCCATTAAAATTGTAAAATATTGAGAATAATAGATTGTGCTTTAGGTATCTAGCAATGAATACTCTTTTTTACTTAGAGCTTTAAATGTATAATTTCTGAAATGAAACATCTTGAAAATATCGGTGTTCATCTTATGTTATTACCTTCATAGAATCAATGTTTACAAGTGAATGTCTCTTTTAAAAAGATCTGACATTAATTTGGACTTATATCAAGTTTTTTGTGGCATATCATATATAAATGTGAAATCCTGAAGAAGTCAATAAATATACTAAATGACATATAAATCCGAACACCCAGTTTAAATGGTTTTATTTTAATAAAAGTTGGTGAATGTATTGATCTTACTGTAAATAACAAGTGAAAAATTTTTCAGCCTTATCAGTTGGACATTCCGGTTTTTATACTGCTTTTTTTTAATTCACTAATGCTCTAAAAATGAATATTTCAGCCGCAGTAAAGAATCAACGTTGGCGGATTTTGGTTCTTGACATCCTTTACGATCGGTTACGATGCCTAGAGTACGGAGACCAGTACGATTTCGTCAACTTAGTGAGTTTGATGGGGGCCATATAGTGGGACTTCGGGAAGCTGGACTTTCTTTTTGGGCAATTGCAGTTAGAGTGCAAAGAAGTGTAGACACTGTGGTTAGGTATTGTCAGGCATGGCTTCGAGAAGGCCGTACGCAAAGAGCAAGGCGCACTGGACGCCGCCGTAGAACAACAGACCGTGAAGATCGCCGCCTAAGATTATTGGCCTTAAGGGACCGTTTCTCCACTACCAGGTCCATTGCAAATGAATGGTTTGCAGAACACGGAAGACCTATTGGCATGCGAAGTGTTTACCGACGAATTAGAAGTTTTGGGATATGATGGGTAGGAGATTGCTCAATTTGCAACGTCCTCCTCAGACTCTAGAAGCACTTCGAGAGGAGTTGGTGGTTGCCTGGAATGAGATACCACAGGAGGACATTGACCACCTGATCAGAAGCATGCCTAGGCGCGTTGGAGAATGCGTAGCACATCAGGGTGCATCCACACATTATTAAAGGTCAAAGGGCTTTAAAGCAGTGCAATCATTTTAAAATTTTTATCATTTACTTATTATGCTTCATTACGTACTTATACAAAATTTTATTAAAATAAAACCATTTAAACTGGGTGTTAGGATTTATATGTCACTTACTATAAAATATATGAAAGATATATATATATATATATATATATATATATATATATATATAGCTTCTATTCAGTTGCTCATAAAATAATACCTAGGATTTAAAAACATTTTTTTCCGATTGTAAATATTTAACCAATAATGAAGCTCTTTTACCTAAAGTCTCCAAATAAAAGCGTTCTACGTTTTGACAGCAGGATGGAAAAAGGACCATTATCACATCAATATTTAAATTATTACCAAACGAAAAGTTGTATTTTTTATTTTACTGATACGATCTATTCCTATTTTAAAGGAACTTAATTATTGCCAACGAGATATTCTAACATCTCGAAATGAACGGACTATACGTAAACGTTTGCACTGTAAACACATTATACTTCAATCAGCGATCTTTTATTGCACACAAAATTAATCATTCTATTCTTCCCAGTATGCTTGATCAAAACAACTGACTATTTAAATACTCCATTTACATTGGCAATATTTATTTTATCAGATTTATGAGAAAATTCTGACGGATCTATTTCTGACGACGTATTCCATATTTCGATATCACCAATTCGATATGGTATAGTTGGTTTTGAAATATATGTTCATTTGACATACCCAAAAGTTAGCCATATGTCACAGCACATAATATTCAGCCATGCAAACGAAGCAGTTGATACGAAGATTATGATGTATCCTGGAAAAAAAAATAATAGAATAAAAACTGAATTCAAAAAAATGGAGAACTTATATCAATTCTTGCATTCTACCATGAAGGAGTGGTTTTTATATTCAAAATAAGAGAAAACTATTTTAGAATAGCTCAAAAAATTTTATAAGCTTACATACAGAAATATATGTATTTCAAATAATAGATCAAAAATTCATAATGTCCATAAACCGTATTACCATTGTATGTATTATACAGGGTGTTTCAGTTTATTGTTGCATAACTTTAAGATTCGATAGAATTTTTAAAATTAATGCATAAACTCTATATAAACATGGGTCGAAAAATGCGTGGCTTCCGAAATACAGGGTGTTTAAATTTACTTTCTAAAATAGTTTTCTTTAAATATTTCGAACAATATTTGATGTATAACAGTGAAAATTGGTATACAAGGGTTTTTTGGTACGACAAAACGAACCATGTGCATAGTTTTACTGTAGCCGCTAGAGGGCGCTCTCTATTAAAATGACCGAAAATTTTTTCTTAGTGCATTTTTTTGCTTTTTGAATAAAAAACTGATTCTTCGCACTTTTCAACATAAAAAAGCTCTCTTGTGAATTTTCGTTATAGTTAGCCGTTTTTGAGATATTTCGATTGTTAAGGTTCGATGCATTTTTAATTAATTTATGGGAAAATAATATTTTTTTTACATTTTCGATTTGGGCATTACAAGTAATTAAGATGATAGTTTAGATTGTGTTTTTAAACACAGCAATAATTCCTAACTCCAAATAAACACAAAAAAACAGAATATTAATTTGTTTAATTTTCCAATATTATTTTTAACAAATTAAATTAATTATTTACAACGAAAATGCTATTGGATAATTAGGACAAACATACAAAATCTAACGTAGTTGCTCGAAATGTAAACCCAATTGTTCAATACACAATTCACAGCTACGAATGATCGAACGTGGTATAGCATTATTCAAATAAGGCCTTATTTCATCACATGCATTCCTGATTCTGTCTATTAGCATATCTCTTGTGGTTACGGGAGTCTGGTACACTTTTTCTTTTAGAAATCCCCACACAAAGAAATCTAATGGATTTAGGTCAGGGGATCGTGGAGGCCAGGCGACTGGTCCTCCACGGCCGATCCATATTTCTGGATAATTTTCGTCCAGCCAGTTTCTAACTGTTCTCGAATAATGAGCTGGACAACATCAAGCTGGAACCAGGCCAACCTTCTTAAATCTAGCATAACATCATCCCACCTATTTGCATGTTCAGCTTTTAAAAATTCCAAGAAGGTCGCAGCATTTAACCTTGCAGGCAAAAGGTAGGGTCCAAATAGTCGATTACGGTAGATACCAATCCACACATTCACACTAAATTCATGCTGAAAATTTCTTTCCCGAACTGCATGCGGATTTTCATGCGACCAAATATGTTGATTATGAAAATTTACCACTCCACGTCTAGTGAAGCATGACTCATCGGTCCATAAAACGTTCCTTAAAAACTCCCTATTATTATCAGTTCTATCAAGAATCCACTGACAAAATCTGATTCCTCCTTCTCCGTCCCCTGGCTGTAGTCCTTGCACAGGTTGCAAATGGTAAGGACGTCTATGGTCATTTCTAAGAACACGGTGAGCATGACTTGCTGAAATTTCCAAGGAACCAGAAACTCTCCTAACACTTGTGGTCGGATCTCTATCAAACTCACGCAGAATCATACGGGTAAATCTGCGCTGACGAACATTTATCTTTTGATCCCTTTGGAGATTTCCAAAACCATTTTCAATTATTTGGCGATGCACTCTTGCAAATACTGAGCGAGTTGGATGTCGTCTGTTTGGAAATCTTCGTGCGTATTCTCTGGCTGCTCCATTTACAAAGCCATACACAAAATGAATATCCGCTAACTCTTGATTGGAGAATAAAAATGGCATTTTTATAAAACAGGTAAAAGAAACTGAATTTCGTGCATTCACAATTGCAAAAAAACGTTTCAGGTTTCAACAGACAACAAAACTAACTGTCAACTAATCGACGTTTAACCATATTCTGCTTTCAATTTCAAAAATATTTGCAGGCACAGCCTACTTCTAAAAATTATCAAGATACTGACTTTTTAACGTTATTTTAAAATAAATAATTAAAAATGCATCGAACCTTAAAAATCGAAATATCTCGATAACGGCTAACTATAACGAAAATTTACAAGAGAGCTTTTTTATGTTGAAAAGTGCGAAGAATCAGTTTTTTATTCAAAAAGCAAAAAATTGCACTTAGAAAAATTTTTCGGTCATTTTAATACACTACAGGTACAGTAGAGAGCACCCTCTAGCGGCTACAGTAAAACTATGCCCATTGTTCGTTTCATCGTACCAAAAAACCCTTGTATACCAATTTTCACTGTTATACATCAAATATTGTTCGATTTATTTAAAAAAAACTATTTTAGAAAGTAAATTTAAACACCCTGTATTTCGGAAGCCACGCATTTTTCGACCCATGTTTATATGGACTTTATGCATTAATTTTAAAAGTTCTATCGAATCTTAAAGTTATGCAACAATAAACTGAAACACCCTGTATAGTCGAAATCACGAAAAATGACGATTACATCATTTTAGTCTGTAGTAAAGACATATGACAGCGATCTTTGAATATTTTTAATGAAGTTTCTGATATTTTAGACAGAGACAAACAGAATTTTATTGTCTAAGCAAACTGTATTACTAATTTGCAAGTATCCGACAAAGATAGACGATGTTTTCATGTTGCACGATCCATCATATTTGAAAGATGAATAGTTAGGTTATGTTAAAGCAGGTTAGGTTCTTTCCGAATAATCCTTTGGTCTTTGGTGTTCCTGTCTTAAGGTATTCTACTCATAACTGTATTTTTTCAAAACAAAAACTCCCCACTAAGATTATTATTAACCATGAAATAAAATGAAAATAAAAATAATTAGTGAAGTAACCTAACTTCGCAAAATCATAATATAAATTTGTTGTCATTATGTTCTTGAAATCGCGAATTTATCATCGACGTACGTCCATTGATGACTTCAGTACAATTTATGGTATAACGTAATAGTCATCTTTCATGATTTTGACTATAATATTAGTATTGTTATACACATATTATTTGTTATAGCATATTACAAACACACACATTTAAAAAAAGCTAAATCTAAGTAAGCTATGAACAATTGTATACACTAATGGGTAATAAAACTAAACAAATAATATTTCATTTAAATATTAACACAAAATTAACCTGGATCTTAACCCCTTAATAGGCTTTTACATTAAAGGAACTGCTCGAAATGGTTGCCATTTTCTCGAATGCAATGTACACATAGGGTGGAAATTTTACGTGAAAAATTGTATAACATTTTAGCTTTGCGATATGTTGAAGAATAACAGGGATACGAGGGGGTCCCCGAATGCAATATTTTCAATTTCGTCCTGTATCTCAGAAACCAAGCGGGCTATGAAAATTTTGTTTATACCATCTTTCTTTTCACAAAAAAGTAGCACATTATTACGAACACCGCGACTCTCTATCTGTAATATCATCGAAAATGGAACACCCTGTACATGCCATACATTCACCATGTATAAATCCAATTACACGATGAAATTACAAACAATTTTTTGACAACATATTCCGTATACTTTATCTGAAGTCACTTGAAACACTGTGAAATACCGGGTGCGTTTTATATATCTATATTTAACACGCTCTGTTGCTGCAAAAATCGCCAAATTTCGCAGCAAATATCCCCCGTATAAGATCAAAGGCAGTTTCACCGGTCCACGTGGAGTAAAGCACGCCTATGCGTGGACATAGCCAATGAGAAAGCGTGTATTTCAGAGCTCTGAACAAGTGCAGGTGGCTACTGAAAATTGAAACAGTTTAGCCAGTGCCGTGTAGCGGTGAATAAACGTGTTTTCTTTAGTCTGTCCGTGTTTTTTCATAGATTTTATTAGTTTGTGTGTTTTTGACTTTTGAATACTCAGTTTACTTGTTGATTTAATTGTTGTGTTGATTGTTCTTGTGTGTCCTAAATATGGCTCTTTGGAGACCTTGGGAAAATGCTCCAAGCCACGAGGAGATGGTTCATGAACCTGTGCAGGCAGAATTCTTTCATAAAGATTTAGAGGAACAGAACCAAAGAGTAATCCTAAATATGTATGATTGTCTGAAAAACGAAAATCCAGATTCCTCGCAAAATCAAATTTTAAACAGAATTTGTATCCTGACAAAAATCAGTCGGTCTACCATTTATCGGGTTATAAAAAGGGGGGATGTAGTTAACCATTCCTTCCACAGAAAGCGCATAGGGCAAAAATTAAAAAGAATAGACGTGGGTTTTCAGGAAGATATTCGTCGTATAATATACGGATTTTATAAAGAAAATTTGGTGCCCACGTTGGAAATGATACGGGATAAATTAAAAGATTATCCTGAAGATTTTTATAATTACAAATGCTTAGACTCACTGCACTGTATTGTAAAACTGTGTGGTTTTCAATACAAAAAATTAAAGATAAAAGAATGGTGATTATGGAGTCATCTCGAATCGTTGAATTGCGCCAAGAATTTTTGCACAAAGTTAAAATCTATAGAGAGCAGAAAAGAAATCTGATTTACCTGGATGAAACGTGGTATGATACCCATGATGTTGTGCAGTACGGCTGGGTTGACGACAGCAACAAGTGCATTTTAAATGCACCATGCAACCGTGGAAAACGAATCATTATTCTCCATGCTGGCAGTGAAAATGGATTTATACCTAATGCCTTGCTGTTATCTGCCAAAAATATCAAAGAATCATGTGCCGACTATCATGAGGACATGACCTCCGACTTATTTGAAAAGTGGATAGAGCAGCAGTTAATACCAAACATTTCCCCAAATTCAGTGATATTATGGACAATGCGCCATACCATTCCCGACAGAAAAACAAAATTCCGAATACAGGCACAAAAAAACAAGACATTATTGATTTTATGAAGGATATGGGAATGGAAATACCACAAAAATCAACCAAAGCCATATTATTGGATCTTATTAAAAGACAAAAATTTGAAAAAGAGTATGTTGTTGACAATCTGCTTCAGCAAAATGGCCATGAATTATTACGTCTACCTCCCTATTACTGCATTTTTAACCCGATTGAGTTGGTCTGGGCTGCTTTAAATAAAAAAGTAAGAAAACACAATCAGACCCCTCAATTAAGTGAATCGCTATTGGCCACAATAAGAGATGCAGTATCTCATATTGCTGCCACAGACCTATGGAAGCAGTGTTCTAGGCATATTATTGAAAAAGAAAATGAATATTGTGTTTTGCCTCCTGTAAATCTAGTTGTAATTCCTCTACAAGATGACTATAGCGACAGCTCCGAAGGCGAGGATGATATATAAATACCTATAATGTAAGTCTTGATATACCTTTTTATATACCTACCTGCTATGTAAATATTTGCCTATGTCAAACGTTGGAATTCTGTAATTTTTCCATTTCTTAACTTTCAGTCAACATAAATTAAACTCCCAATATAAGTATTTTTTATCCCAAATCAAAAAAATAAGAAGATAGTAAAATCCATTTATTGTGATATAAAAACATTATTATTATCGTTCTAAATAAATGACCGCACGCCTATGATACGTCATGAAATTACAAAGGACGCGCCGACCAAAGGTTTTTATGCTATTTCAAGTGACTTCAGATAAAGTATACGTGTATCAAAGTACATCAGCACTACCCTCTATAAAGCAATAAAAAAGTTCGTGACTTCTTCAAGTGGGGCACCTAAGAAAATGGATCCGAGCTCTTAGAAAAATGTCGGCGTCTTTACAGGGTTTGTCCGGAAAGTAATAGGACTCATTTTCTTTCGGCATGACTGTACTTCGGAGTGTGCGCGCACTGACTGGATTCGGTAGACGGCGTTCCTAGCTAACGAATGAGCGGCTGGTCAGTTGTCTCCGAGCACTTGGAGAGTCAAGGCGACGTGTTTCTGTGAGTGGTGCAAGCCGAAAATGCAGCGTTCGTTAGAGTAGAGGTACGCGATTAAATTCTGTGTGAAACTCGGTAAATCTGCGACAGAGACGTTTGATATGATCAAGCAGGCTTACCCGGGTGTTGCTTTAGCAAGAAGTGGTGCGTTTCGGTGGCACCAGGCCTTTTTGGAGGGCCGGGAAGAGGTTGCTGATGAAGACCGTGCTGGAAGACATTCGACTTCGACAAACACCGATAATGTGACTCGTGTGCGCAAAGTTTTGAACTCAGACCGTCGACTAAGTATTCGTTTAATTGCCCAGATGTCAAATTTACCAAAATCTGTGGTTCATGACATTGTGACACAGCATTTGAACATGCGCAAGGGGTGCGCGAAGATGGTCCCAAAAGTGCTCACTGACGACCAGAAATTACGGCAAGTGGAAGTGTGCCAAGAAAATTTGATCATGTGTGAAAGTGACCCCCAATATTTGAATAACGTAATCACAGGTGACGAGTCGTGGATCTTTGAGTATGATCCCGAATGGTACACGACGGCGTCTCCTCGCCCAAAAAAGGGAAGAATGAGCAAATCCAAAGTGAAAACGATGCTCATTGTCTTGTTTGACATCAAAGGCATCGTCCACCATGAATTTTTTCCTCCTGGACAAAACGTGAACGCCGAGTTTTACGTGGAAGTGCTCAGGAGATTCAAACGAATGGTCAGTCGGGTCCGACAAGACATCGCAGCCGACTGGTAGTTGCACCACGACAACGCCCCGGCTCAGATCGCCTTTCTTGTGAACAGCTACCTGACCAAGGCCGGCATCCCAACGCTTCCGCAGCCGCCCTACAGTCCAGATGTAGCCCCCTGGACTTTTTTTGTTTCCTCGCCTGAAAAGGCCGATGAAAGGCAAGCATTTTGAGACGACAGAGGGGATCCAAGCAGCATGCACCGCGCCTCTCAAGGCTATTCCGGAGAATGCCTTCCATGACGCCTTCAATGCTTGGAAATCGCGCTGGCAGCGCTGCATCGACGCAGAAGGAGCCTATTTGGAAAGTTTTCAGAGAATTGCAACGATTGGCTCAATAATTTGTTTTAAATCGACTCAGTCCTATTACTTTCCGGACAAACCCTGTATATTCATCAAAAGCTTTTTCGCGAGTACCCTTTCTACTGTGTTCTTTGTAAACACTCACCTAAAGTTCTGCAATGCATATCATTAGTTTCCAAATTCACTTGCGCGTACACCAAAAACATAAATAAAAGCAGCGTTGCTGTACAATAGTTCATCAAAATTTTTCCAAATAAATTGTTGGTCTCCTTCAGCAGCAAGTAAATGAGTATCGTGAGGCCAAGGAAGACGCACGAAAGTATCTTTGGCCACAAAGTATGTCGAAACTTGTCTTTGTAAGGAACTTCTTTGAAGCATTTGAAGAAGAAGAAGCCAGTTAAATTCGCCCTAGTCGAATGCTCGATGCAGTATGAAAAGGGATCCTCAATGGTTTCATTTACAAATGCGTTGCTTGTATTTTGCCAATAGGAAAAGGCACCGTTCTTCTTCAGTATGAACGTGTACCTTTTCTCGTTCATCAGGTAAATTTTACTGCATGTTCTGTTGGAGATAATCGCGAAAGGATCTGGAAAAAAAAACGGCGTCATCGGTGATAATAATCGCCTATGCTTGTCTGGACGAAAAAACACATGCATATGTCTTTTTGTGTATTGACAGATCTTGTTTATTGTAGAGAAGATCTGTGATTATACAGGGTGTCCGCAAAGTTGGGATTTTCCTTCACACGACGTGTAGATCTTGAAAACATAAGCAATTTTTCTTAGTACCATATACATCAATGTCTTAAGGGAACCGAGATAAAGGGCTCTGCAACATCAAAAATATCTTAATACCGTCCTGTAGCCGCGACATCCCCGAGTGGTACTAGGACACTAGCTCAACCCGACGACAGAACTGGGTTGGGGTCAGTGTGTCAGGTCAGTATGCAAACTTCAACCGACGGTTACGGTCACGCGTGTAGAGGTAATCGCGTAGACGAGAATCCCTCAACAAGCACTAGAGACGTGGCTAGAGAAGTGCAAGTATAAAAAACTAAAGTGTGGCAAACGCTGCGTGAAGAGGGGCTGTATCCGTTTCACGTCCAAGAGTGCGGTTTTGTGAGTGGTTGTTGCATCAACATGACAATAATCCGGACTTTTTGAAGTGCATATTGGTGACAGACGAATCTACGTTCACGCGTAATGGGGTGAATAACTTTCGCAACACTCATGTTTGGTCAGTAGAAAATCCGCACGCTGTCCGTCGGGCACATTTTCAACAAACATTTTCGGTGAATGTTTGGGCTGGCATGGTGAACGGTATGCTCATTGGACCATTTATTCTCCCAAATCGATTGGACGGGATGAAATACCTAGACTGTTTACGCAACATTTTGCCTTCCTTGTTTGCCTGCGTCTGCTCGGTAGCGCATCAGCTGATTGCATTTTCTGTTGGAGCGGTATGATTTCGGGCAGAGACGTACTTAGCCCTTCTCGTCAACTGGAGAGTGAGTACTTTTTCCTTTATTTTTTTTTTACTTGGTCGCCCTCGTTTCACTACACATTACCTTTGTTATTTCAAGGGTAGTTGTTTCTGAAAAGGAAAACCCCAACTTTGCGGACACCCTGTATATAACATGGGGCATTCTGATACCAGATACAAAATAATGCTTTCTGAAATGATATCTGAAATAATAGATACAAAATACGTAACTTTTGAATATGTTTTAAAGATAAAATGCTTTTGTAAGAAAACGTCACTTTATTGAGGTTATTCTTTTACATGAACTATTTATGCGTCGATCCCGCAAATGCGACAAAATATCATACTTTTGAGGTTCTCATTGAGACAAGTAGGACCATTTCGTCACTTGTTCAGTGAGATCTTATTATCATACCCCCAGAAGAGAAGAGGCGCTCCACATGGACATAATTTGGTAACAGGTGATAGATTTGAGAAAGAATTTTTTTGTTGTAGAATAAGTGTTTAAGCTCTTCAGCGAGTATCTTTATTATTCAAGCCCAAAGTACCACAGAAAGTGGCTATAACCGGCCGCGTGGTTGTGGTTAGATGTCATCCTGAAAATTCGAGGTCTTCTAGCCATTTTATACTACAATGTGTAGGTTGGCTCTTTTTTATGACCTCGTGTGTCATTTTCTTTCCCTCTCCATCTTCGTTTCCTCAGGTTACACCCGTACCCGCATGTGTATCCACTTTTATAGTTACATTCATTTCTCTCCTGATGAATCCAACAAGCCAAAATACGTATCGCTCGGGTTACCTATCCTATTTTCTGCTCGAATTCACTTTCCTTCTTTTTGCGGAATTTGTCCATTATTTTTCTATTTGTTATACACCCTTTTCCGCATGATCCTATCCTCTTTACAGTGAACCCCCGATAATTCGGCCCCTGTCTAATCCGGCGCCAACTGTAATCCGACATGTCTTACTATATATTACATACATACGTATTTGACAAGCTTCGCTAATATAGATCACGCAGGTTTGAACACGTTACAACTTGTACGCGCCACCGCTATCGTGTTCGACGCGTAAGCATTGTTTTACTTAGTTTGAATTTGACTTCTGGTGATATAGGTACGGCCTAGCGTGCGTTCATTGTTTACTATTCATTCATTGTGTATTAAGTATAGTACCTAGTAATGTCATCACAAACTCAGAAGCGAAAGCACAAAACATTGACAATTGTGACATTTTAGACCGCTTAAATCGCAATGAAACTTTCAGTAGTTTAGCAAGTGAATACGGCGTAGGCCGATCTACAATTTATGACATGAAAAGAAACCACGAATAGATCAAGAAGTTCGGGCCAGGCAAGATACAGACACTCAAGAAAGCTGAACATCCACAAGTGGAAGAAGCTTTGTACATGTGGTTTCTTCAGGAAAGAAATAGGCATGCACCAATTTCAGGACCCATGTTGGCCATGAAAGCTAAGTTTTTTTATAAGGAAACTACAAAAAAAGATGATTTTGTGGCCAGCAAAGGATGGCTAGAACGTTTTAAAAGTCGTCATGGTATACGTTTAATGACTACTACAGGAGACAAACTTTCTAACGATGCCACCTGCATAGAGCCCTTTAAATAAAGATTTTTGCAAAAGGTGAACGATTTAAATCTTGACCCGACAAAGGTGTACAATGTAGACGAATCAGGGCTTTTTTGGCGTGTGATACCTAACAAAACATTAGTTTCTTGTAACGAAAAATCCGTACCTGGACGAAAAGTAAGTAAAGAGCGTGTAACCATACTACCATGTGCTAACGCTGCAGGCACACACGCGCTTAAGATGATGGTCATTGGGAAACCTAATAAACCACGGGCATTCAAAAACATTGATTTACTTGTACACTATCACGGACAAAAAAGTGCATGGATGACAAAAGACCTTTTCAAAAAGTGGTTTGATGAATGCTTAGTACCTGAAGATAGAAAATGGTTAAAAGATCATAATTTTCCTCAAAAAGAGTTGTTGCTTCTTGATAACGCTCCCGGTCATCCGTCTGAAGAAGAACTAACAGCTGAGGATAAATGCATCACTGCGATGTTTCTTCCGCCAAATTGCACTGCACTGATTCAACCAATGGACCAGAATGTCATTCAGTTTGTCAAGCAAGACTATAAGAAAAAGCTACTTCTGAGAGCCGTATCAAAAGACCAACCAATAGAAAACACTTTAAAAGAATTTAATACGAAAGACTTGGTTTTTGCTCTTTATCAGTCGTGGAATGCGTTACTGTCATCGACTTGGAAAAAGTTATGGCCAGATATAGTCACCACTCCTAGCAACGTTCCACAAATCAGTGTAACTTCGGAAGTTACAGAACAAGTCGCCACTGAAACACAGATAAGTCCGGAAGATTTGGAAATCTGGTGCCGTGGAATGAATAAAGAGGAAAATGTTTTTCATGAAATGTCTGACGAAGAGATTATAAAAGAGGTTTCTAATTATACAACAAACAATCAGGAAAATAACGACGACGTGCCTGCAACTGCTCCACAAGTCACAGCACAAGACGCAATTAACGCCTTTGAGCTAGGTTTACAATGGGCTGAAGAGAATGGTACATCCTACAACGAACTTTTACTTTTGAAAAAACTGAGGGACAAAGCTCTGATCTCGCGTTATGACAACCTTAAGCAAACAAAAATTGATGAATAAGGTAAGTTTACCAAATATTGCCATAGATCCTAATAACGCCACCCCAGGAAGCGCATATTTTTCAGACATTATATGAAATCTGGAAACATGGAACGTCTTTTGGGGTAGCCGTATATTCCTTACCACGTTGTCGGTTTTAGTTGAGGTTAAGCGTCTGGTGTGAATGCACGCCAAAAATTGTTCTAGTTCTCTGTTATAAGAAAATCATTTCATTACCTGGCGTGTGCACAATTATAACACATTACTGTTCAGATTTCTATACTGCTGCAGGTAGGTGCATATTTATAGTTATTGTTCCACAGGTTATGTATCTGATTCTGTATGTTTTTCTAAATATAAATGGAAATCTTTTCTGCATTGCATTTGTTCTTAATATTGTCATAGAATTTTATACCTAATACAGCCAGTGGCAGTATTAGGACCACCAGTGGCAATATTAGAGGCACCAATGGCAATATTAGGATTCAAGCAAGAATTCAGAAAATTCAGCTATGTTATTTGAAAATGCACGAATGTTTCCTTCCAGAATGCCAAAGACACGGGCATTGTGGACAGAAGCGGGCCTCTACTCAGCATTACTGGCCATAGCAAATGGCACTTCAATCAAAAGTGCTGCCAAGCGGTATGGAATTCCCCGAACAACTCTAGGACTACATCATAGAAAACAAAATTTCAAAAAGAAGCTTGGAAGGTCTTCAGTTCTTTCTCCGGAACAAGAAAATGATCTTGTTACGAGAATTCATAGATTATCTGAAGTCGGAATGCCTATTACTAGCAAAGTTTTGATGAAAAGTGTATATACCTACGTTTGTGAAAACAACATACCGAATCGTTTTCGAAGCAATCAAAACGTGCTGGAAGAAAATGGTTGAAGCTGTTCCTAACTAGACATCCTGAAGTATCTCGCCGGAGGGCACAACAAATGAACATTGCGCGTGCTCAAAAACTAAATAAACCTATAGTTGGTGATTGCTTCAGCAAATTAAAGGATGTTATGGAAAATATGGGCTTGTTTGACAAACCAGGTAACATATACAACATAGACAAGAAGGGATGCAGATTAACAATACACAATCAGCAAATTGTACTAGCTAAGAGAGGGTCTAAGCGCGTACATTTAACTGCTCCTGAACATGTCGAGAACGTTACAATTGTAGGTTGTGGAAATGCGCTAGGTCAGTCTGTGCCACCATTTATCCTTTTCAAAGGTCAAAGACTGAAACCTGAATGGTCTGATCACTTACCACCAGGCTCAAAATGTATTGTCACAAAAAAGGTGGTATGACGTGCGAAGCGTTTGTTTTGTGGTTAAAGCACTTTGCTTCCTTCAAAAACACCTCCTACTCTATTAATCTTTGATGGCGCGAAATGTCATCTTGATATTTCAATAGTTGAAGCAGCCGATAGCATGAACATAACGTTATTTTGTCTTCCAAGTAACACGTCTCATGAGTTGCAGCCCATGGACAAATCCGTTTTCAGAAGCTTTGAAACATTTTGGGATCAAGAAGTTCTGCACTTTCTAACAACTAACCCTGGCAAGACCTTGACTAAAATTAGATTTGGAGAAATTTTCACGACTGTTTGGTTAAAGGCAATGACACCAACAAACATAATTTCTGGGTTTAGAGCCACAGGGATATACCCATTCAGGCCGGATGCACTACCTGAGTCTGCTTACGCACCAAGTGCAATTTCTCACAGAGAAGAGGACAAAGAAAATCGTGAACTCGGTTTTCAAAATACTGTAGCCAGGATCGAGAGTTCCGAATCATCCGCATCGATGAATAATGTATCTAAGGCAAGTACAAGTGGGAATAAAGGACTGTTACAAAACAAGAAAGCAAAAAAAATATATCGTGAAGCATATTCTTCAGATAGCGAGTCATTATCGGACTTTAGTCTACATGATGATACATCCGCTAACACTTCTAGTGAAGATGAACCCTTGGCTACTTGGAAACACCAAAATATCAACGTGGACAGATTAAACGAATGCCATAAGCAAAGCTCATTTTCCGTAAAAAATAAACCGCCAAACACTTCTTTTGATAGCGATGATGAAGTTCCACTCATACTTCTCAAAAATAGAGAGAATATTGTCTCTAAAACAGCCAGAAGCTCACCTCCAGACAATTCATTCACGGCTACAGGATTACTCATTACTCCCGAAATCAAAGTACCCACAACAAAAAGAAAGCCTGCGTTGAACAGTAAAGCTCAAAAGCTTGCATAGGATTGACCAAAGAAGATAAATAAATATTTATTTGTCCCTGTTGTAGTTGAACATTTTTAAAGTACCTACCATTTTCATCTACGATTATGAGTTTTAAAGTTTTATTTTATGTTATTTTTCAATATTTTGTTAATTTTACTGAATGTTTTTAATGTTCATACGATGTGGCAATAATAGGAGCACTGGTAAGCTTAATATTGTCACCAGATATTCTAATAAAGAACTACGATAAGTCCATTTGTATTCATCCTTTTGAAATGCCTGAAACGTATGTTATAGAAAATATATTTCTCTGTGTACATCTCAGTTTTTATTCCGTTACTGTGAAAAATGAAAACTATTTATGGCAATAACTCTTAAGGTGGCAATATTTGGTACAGTTACCTTATTTCCAAGCTTCACAATTTGATAAATTTATTAATGATTTTGATTAATAATTGTTGATTAGTTTGGTACATATGTATGTAAATTTATGCTTAATTTTATAATAAAACGTAAGCTCTCTATTGTTATTTAATTTACTAAATTCGACATACATAAACTATGTTGTATGATTTGTACTTCAAAGTACATACATATACATATAATCTTACCATTGGATACGTAATTTGTCAGATTAAAAAGTTCTCTTTTGTAAAAAATTCCGGACATAGGGGGTCTTAGGCAGTGCTCTATAATCCGACAAATTCGATAGTCCGACACAGCCCTGCATAATGTTTCTCGGATTACCGGGGGTCCACTGTATATGTATAATTTTCTTTGCGTGGGAAGTCAACTTACTAGATGCCATTTATTGAGGGAATAAGTTACAAGAAAAACAGCACATCGTATATGTAGCTAGGTCTAGGGATTACCGTTAATTTCAAGTTTGAAGTACACACCTCTGCGTAATTTCTGTTCCGTTAGCCCAACTGCCGTATTTGATTACAGATAAGAGCATTTTTATAACCATATGGTTGCACTTGCGAGTAATATCATCGAGCGAATCCTATTACACATATTCTAATCCAATTAGTATCAAACAAATAAGTACCATACATCATCGAAGATAACGTCTAATTGTTAGCATAATAAAAAATATAGTCGGCATAGATCGCCTATGCTTACTGATCATAAACGAAACCGGAATACTCGTCAAAAACTGAGTTACACGTACAAAATACAAACCTGAGACGTATAAGTTTATTAATGTCACTGTCCAGAAAAAAATAAAAAAGGAAAATGGGCATTGAAAATATTATATTGAAAATCTGAGATCACCTTTTTACTTTCCTACACCACTGGTCGAGGAAGTATTATTATCGCGAAAGTGGCATATTGGAGTAGCGGCAGTTCTAGGGGTGAAAACGCGCGTTATAGGTCAAGAACCCGAGGCGTCAGCAAGACGACACCGCCAGTCGCAACGACAGCAGAAACCTTTATTAAAACTATTTTTCTTTTTATATTTTAATTCATTATCATTCCAACTTGTAACACGTTCATGTCTACAAAATAAATATTTTTTAAAAAACTCCTTGTTGTGGCTGAGAAACATAATTGGCGCTGCGAACAGGATATCTGCACGGCATCCACCCAAGAAGGATCATCGGTTCGTCTTAACGATTTGGCAGATTTCTACCTGGGGTCACGAAGAAACACCGAGAAATTGGAGGACCATACTGGCGATGAAAATCAGTGCGATTCTTCTCATCCTGTAAGTCCATTTCCTTTTCATATGAGTTCTGAGTACCCTCAAGATTCATTTCAAGCTATAGTTAATTTTTCACACAAGTCGCAAAACAAATCTAGATTTCAACCCTACAGTAAACATTCAAAGAGGTCAGAAGACGATATTGTTGATAACCCATCTAATACTTTCGAACAATCTACAAAAATGGTTATATCTAACTCTGATGTTAATAACTTGTGTAATACTCTTCCTGAATTTAAAGTTGGAGATAATCTTTCTACATTTATAAGCTCTGTAGATAATTTAATCACATTTTTCAACCAACAAGGAGCTGATGCAGTACAATTGTATATTATTAATGCACATATTTTATCCAAAGTAAAAGGTGAAGCTCGAGATTTTCTGAACATTCATAATAAAAATTCGTGGCCAGATATTAAACCACTTTTATTACAAAAATACGGTGACCACCGTAATGAAGAAATTTTGTTAACTCAATTAACTACAACTGTTCAGAAACGCTCAGAGACTTACCAAGATTATCATCATCGTATAACCTTGGCACTGAATGACCTTTTACAACATGTTTTATTAAGTGAAAGTAACGCCCAGGCAGTAGAGTTCAAGGCTTCATTTTTCCGGAAACAAGCTCTAAGAACTTTCTGCACAGGCATCAACAACCCTTATTGTGACCATCTTTCTCATTTCGAATTGAATACTTTAGATGATGCTCTCTCCAAAAGTGTATCTCTCTTGACAATCACAGACAGCAACAACAATACATGTCTTACTTGAAATCCACGAATCACCCCCGCGATTACCAAAAACCTCAACCTCGTCCCAATCCAAACAACTTCAATACTTCGAACAAACCCAATAATCCCAATAACCAATACCATCGTAATTTTAATCAGCCCAATTCGTCTAATCAATCTTTCAACCAAAATTCTATGCACCCTAGACCTTTTGGCGATATAAATAAGCCCATCCAACAGAGACAATCTTTTCCGACAAATCGTCAAGTCTTTGGTCCATCGTCTAGGCCTAATAATTCACAAGACCAACGAAACCAATATAAACCAACTCCCATGTCTGGTATTCATTCCCAGAGATCTTCAAATTCCAAACCTACCCCAATGTCTATGTCCTCTTACCGCACGTTCCATCATAATGTTGAATGTGAACCCGAGTCCCCGCCTAGTTTACCTTATAACGAAGCAGACTGTATACCTGAGACAGATTGCTACGAAAACTTTGATTCTCCTGAGGAAAATTTTCTAGAACCAGTCTCAATGGAACCCGCACCCAACATAGAATCATTCAGTTGAATAATTTTTCCAAAGCAACGAAACTTCCTTACTTCTACCTTCCACATTCCAAATTAAAAGTTCTCATCGACTCCGGTGGCTCTGATACAGTAATTACTCCCAGAGCTGCTCAAAATTTCGACTCGAAATATGAATTCTATGAACCTTTTACCCTCATATCGATGAAAACCCCAAAAACATATACACGCAATCTTTACTACCCTTTGTTCGAAGAAATTGGTATACAGCAAGCCCTTACAATTAGAATTGCCGACTGGCATGACGATTTCGATGTACTTTTAGGTACAGGTGAACTCGATCAACTAGGAGCCAATATTGATTACGAAACACATGTATTTTCTATTCCAAAATTACAGATCTCTATTCCATTTAAGATAATTTACCGTAGTAATAAACGACTACGTATTCCGGTCTCCATTAATAATGGCGAAGTTGTCATTTCTGATATTATACATGAAAATCAAGTAATAGTTCCAGCATCAATTCATGTAGCTGAAGACGGATTCATAGAAATTCCACGTCCCAACAATGTTGAAATCAACTTCTCACAACCAATCTCCGCCACATCCATTTCAGATTTCGAAGAAATCACTCCCCCATCGTCTGGCGACAATTATTTTGATCTTAATTTGTTACGGACAGACCATTTGAATGCAGAAGAGAAAGAAAAGATCCTCCATCTTTGTCATCGATTTAAAGATATTTTTCATACAGAAAATTCTCCTTTAACCGTTACTACTTCTGTAAAACATGTTATTCGAACTAAAGATGAAACACCAATCTTCACCCGCTCTTATCGACACCCAAAATCAATGCTACCTGAAATTTCCGACCAAATCAATAAATTACTACAGAACAATGTCATCCGCCCTTCTATAAGTCCCTACTCAGCCCCTGTATGGATAGTTGCGAAAAAACTTGACGCAAGTGGTAAAAGAAAATTCCGTATGGTCATCGACTATAGACGTCTTAACGAAAACACAATCGAAGATAAATACCCTCTTCCCCGCATTGACGAAATTCTTGACAACCTAGGACGCTGTTCATACTTTACCACCCTTGATTTGGCACAGGGTTTCCACCAAATCGAAGTCCACCCAGATTCTATAGAAAAGACAGCTTTCACAGTTCCTAACGGTCATTTCGAGTACCTTAGAATGCCTTTCGGATTACGAAATGCACCAGCCACTTTCGAGAGAATGATGGATGAAATCCTAAGAGAATTCTTATACAAATCTTGTTTTGTCTATATGGACGACGTCATCATATTTTCCAAATCCCTCCAGGAACATTTAATTCATATTAAACAGATTTTCCAAAAATTCCGAGAAGTTAACCTCAAGATTCAGCCCGATAAATCCGAATTCTTGAGTAAGTCAGTAGCGTTTCTAGGCCACGTCATAACACCTGAAGGCATAAAACCAAATCCTTCAAAATTTCAGCCATTGAAAACTTTCCTATACCCAAGACGGTGAAAGAAATCAAAAGCTTTCTTGGTCTGGTAGGATACTACCGACGTTTCATTCCGAACTTTTCCAAAATCACATACCCCATGACACGCTGCACTAGAAAAGGTACTAAAATCGATATCGAAGATCCCAGATATATTGAATCTTTCGAGAAATGTAAATCCGCTCTCAGTAACTCCCCTATTCTCCAATACCCTGATTTTTCCCTACCATTTACCCTCACTACATACGCTTCAAACATAGCGATCGGTTCTGTCCTTACACAGAAAGGAAATCCGATAGCCTATTATTCTCGCACCCTAAATTCAGCAGAGAAAAATTATTCTACAATCGAAAAAGAACTTCTTGCCATACTCGATTCCTGCAAAGTATTCCGCCCCTATGTATATGGTGTAAAATTTACTGTGGAAACAGATCACAACCCCTTAGTCTGGTTATACAAAATTAAGGAACCCAATTCTCGTCTTGTCCGATGGAAACTCAAACTTGAGGAGTACAATTTCGAAATTAAATACAAGAAAGGAAAGGAAAACG